AATTAAAAAGTCGGAATGGGTTAATAAATAAACAGTCAAATAGAATGATTAGAAAAAAAATATTATCTATAAACAATACATACATTCAACATGACCTATATTTGATTTTAATGAACCAATTAATAATGGATTTTGTTGATTGTGGTATTGTTTAAATGCCATGGAAATTGCTTCAACTTCAATAGGATCGCCAGTTGGTGTACCTGTACCATGACACTCAACATAGTCTATATCAGACTCGGTAACCTGTGATGAACATAGTCTGAACATTTCTTTAATATTGTTATATTGACTGGTTTTTGATGGTGAATAAAAGTTGTTTTTATCACAGTTTCCATCTGCATTTGAATTAACTCCATTAATAACACAATAGACTCTATCACCATCACTAATTGCCTGTTCAAGATTTTTTAAAACAGCAACACAAACACCTTCACATCTTCCAAAACCATCTGCATCTGCACTGAACACCTTACAACGACCGTTTTTACTGAGCATATTTAAATATGTACAAGCTTTTGGAAAGGTCTCATCCAATAACAAATTGGCACCAGCTACGATAGAATAAGTAGATCTACCTTCTACTATACTTTGATATCCCAAATCAACGGCTGTTGAAGAACTACTACAAGCAGTATCGATAGACATAGATTGACCTCTAAAATCATAACAATATGAAATTCTGTTTGAAGCAGAATGGTTAGCCGAACCAAATATATTTGGTAAAACTTCCTCTGAGTTTTTCAAAATATTCTGATAGTCATTAGTTGATAAACCCACATATACACTTGTATTTGTACCACGTAGTTTAATTGGATCAATATGTGCATCTTCGAGTGATTCCCATACACCTATAAAAATTATTAGTATTATTATCTTTTACAACTGTTTATTTAAAATAATCTTACATTTCAATAATAGTCTCTGTTGAGGATCAATGGTATCACAATCAGATGGTGATATTGAAAACATTGGTGGATCGAATTGTTTGATTTCATCTAGTGAAATTAAACCAGCTTGATGGTTTATAATATCTTTGTTAAAATAATAATTATCACTCCATCTTTCTGATGTATCAACAATACCATCAAACTTGTTAATTAAATTATTCCATAGAGCTACTGGACTATTTGAATTACCTGGTAATCTTAAACCAACTCCGATTACTGCAACACCTTTATTTCTACTATTAATATTAATGTTTTCCATTTTAAATTGAAATAAATAATTTTAGTAAGAATTTTAAAAGAATAATAAATCTAAAAAAAAAAAAAAAATAATTAGAATTATAAATTTTAAAAAAAAGATAATTTATTGATTAAAAAAAAAAAATAACTATTGGATAAAAAAAAAAAAAAAGATTTTATATAAATTATCATTAAAAGATAAACAGTTTGATAACTTTAATATTCTTATTATTTAATTTTTTTGGTAATCTTAATATTAATTAAAGAAAAATAGATATCTATTTATTTTTTTAGGAAATATAAAAATCATTAATAAGATTACCCCGAAATTAATCTCTATTTTTTTAAAAGATTAACACCAAGGATATCTTCTTTAACAAAAAAATCGAATACCCACACACTAAATTTTTTTTTTTTAAATTAAATCTTTATAGTTTTTTAGTCATAATTAATTTTTTAATTAATGGGGGAAAAAAATAAAAAAGGTAATAAATAAAAATAATAAAAAGAATCGAGCTTGATTTTGAGCTATACAAGTATAATTTATAAAAAGGATGATAAAATATATTTATATCTACGGTTATTCTTTTATAAATTGATTTTGAAATTATGATAAATAGGATGCTTCATTACCAAATGGATGCAATATTTAAAGCACGGAGGATATACTAAATATTAATTAATAATAATCAATTATATCTAATTGTAAAAAAAATACAAATAAAATTTTTGAAATTGAAAAAAAGGAATAAATATTTATTGTGACAATATTTTTTTTATTTTAATTTTTTATCAAATAAACCAATATCTTGTAATATGATTTATTTTTGGGGTCGTTATATAAATATTAAATATGTACCTATTAATTCAATAATTATCATTTCCATCTTAATAAAGTTGGGGTCCACATATTTATTCAGGGCACTGTACCACTGCCACTTTCTCATTTTCTTCTTCATACAACATATTTATATAAATATGGTTTGATCCTCTTGTAAATAAATTTTAAAAAAAAATAAATAAATTTAACAAAAAAAAAAAAAATTTTAATTTTTTTCAAAACATTTTTTATATTTTTTTTTTATTTATTTATTTTTTTATCACAAAATTAATTTTTTTATAATATCATTAATAGACTATTTTTTTTCAAATAAATATATATTTGTTCCAAACATGTAAAAAAAAATCACAATGAAATTTTTTATAATTATTTTTTATAAATTTTTTTTTTTTTTTATTAGAATATGATTTGTTTTATTTTAAAAAAGAAATAACAATGATAATAATAAAAAGAAATATTTATAATAGTAAAGCATTTAAAATTCTAAATAGCTGTTATAAAAAATGCCTATATACAACCAATATTATCAATAATAATAAACAAACACCAAATAATAATAAATCAAAAAATAAAAGTTTATATTTAAATGAGGTTAAAGAGAATCCAAATAATTCATTAGCATTGTTTAATTTAGTAAGTATTTTAGAATCAAATGAATCAATTAAAGTTGAAACCAAAGATTGATCAGTATCAGAATAGAAAATCAATTTATTAAATTTTAAATCTTGAAATTAATCACGAAAATAGAGCAGATATTTCAAACTCTTATAGTAATTTAGTGTATCAATATATGGAGGGTATTTCAACTATAGATTTATTAAATGGTGAAAAAAAGACAAAAAGAGAATTATATTTAAAATCAATCGAGTTAAACAAAGACAATTCTCCATCCTAATGCCATCACCCAACGAAGTGGTTCATCTTTTGGACGGAAGACCATTCTCAAAAAAGATGTTATATCGCAAGGCAATTTGAAATCCATGTCACTAATGTAGAGGCCTACAACAATCTTTCCATCCTCTTAAAAGATATAAACGAACAAGTACCCATCAATGGCAAAGCAGTATCAAAACTAAACTTATTAATCAAGCTTATTCAAATGGACCCAACCAACCCAATTTACTACTATAACACAGCATTAAATTTAGTAAAGTCAAACCAAGCTCAACAGGTAATAAAAATAAGTGATCGTATGATTCCTTTGGATCTAGTTGCAAAATCAATAGACTTAAACCCAAAAGAACCAAATTTCTTTAGATTGTTTTCAAAGCTAATGGATATAAATGGTATAGAGAAAATATTTTTACTCAATGGGAAAACGATATACAACGCTGTTATAAAAACTAAATTAAATATAAAGTGATAATGGTAAATTTTCAATTTTTAAAAAGCTATTTTAAATAAAATTTTTTTTTAATAAAAAGTATATCAAAAAAATTAATTATTAAAAATTATTATAAGATTTTTTTTCATATTAAAATTAATCTTAATGTTTTAAAATTTTTTTTCCTTTTAAAATTAACCATAGTGTTTTAAATTTTTTTTAATTTTAAAATTAATCATAGTGTTTTAATTTTCATTTTTTTATGATTTGATTTTTTTTATGAGGTTTTAATTTTTCGTGCTGCGAGTACCCCCACCCACACTTTTTCGAATTAAAATTTTATTTTTTTTAATTTTTTTATTTAATTTTATTTCTTTTTTTGGTATTTAAATCATCTACTAAAATTTAGAAAAGTAAATTAATAAAAACAAAAAATTATTGTTTCTTTTTATTTTTTTAAAAATAATTTTATAAAACAATCACCTTAAAAAAAATCTAATATAAAATTTAATAGTAATCTCCTTAAAAAAAAAATTAAATAATAATAATATTGGCCATAATTTATATATTAAAAAAAAAAAATGGATAATAATAATAATAATAATAATATTAACAATAATAATAATGTTAACAATAATAACAATGTTAATTCAAAAAAAAATTTTAAAAGAAAAATAGAAAATGATGATGAAACTTCCATATTTAATATGAAGTCCATTAGAGTCGAGGTCCTTAACACCGAAATTGAATTATTAATTAAAGAAAAAGAAGAAGACCACAAAGAGATCAACGAAGCTTTCCAAAAACATAAAAATGTTTTAAATGAAAAGAAAAACGAAATCTTAAACAAAATAGAATCAAAAAAGATGAAAATGTGCCACACAGTTTCTAGGGTCTTCGAAAAGTATCCATTAGCTTCAGAAAATTATAAACAAAAAGTTGAAAGCCATGCCAAAAAAGTCCAAAAACAAGAGGTTTTAAAATTCCATATAGGTCTCCACAAAAAACATGGTGATATAATGAAAAATAGATATAGATCAATTATGGAGACAATCAGAGTAAATAGAGAAAGAGTCGAGCAATTAAAAAGAGAGATCAGATTAGAAGAAATAGCCAAAGAAAATTCATACGATAGAATGGAATGAATAGTTTAAATAAAAATATAATTTATAGTTTTAAAACATCTCTTTTTTTTTTTAATTTTTTTTTTTTAAATTTTTTTTTTTTTAAATTTTTTTTTTTTAATTATTTTTTTTAAAAAATTTGATTAATTAATTATTTTGATCATTTTTAAAATCAAAAATAATTTTTATCCCATAAAAAAAACAAATTTCGGAAGATTGGTTGCTAAAAAAATTTAAATTCAATTCTATATCTCAAGAATTCCTTACAGCAATTTAATCATAATCAAATTACTCACTTGAAAAAAACCTTGGATTCTGTCTAAAAACTTTTTTTTTTTGTTATTTTTTTATTTTTCTTTCTCTTCAAATTATTGTTTTTCTGTCTTGCAGGTTCAGAATCACACGAATTGATGTTACTGGGGAGCATGGTGGTAGAACGAATTGACTCAAAAAAAATTATATCATCACTTAAAAAAAATGGGGATAAATATTTTTTTTCATTTTTAATTTTTTTGCTTTTATTTTTATTGTGAAATTAATTTTTTTATAATATCATTAATAGAAAGTTTTTGGAGATCTGAAATATTAAACAAGTTTTTTTTGAACTTTTTATCTAACCAATTTTTTACCTGTACCACCAATAAACTATCGAATCCAAAATCTGAAAGTATGGTATTTGTATTAATATTTGATTCGTTTATTGATAATAAATCTGCTAATTTTGAAAGCACAGCATTTTGAAATTCATCGATGTGTTCTTCGTTTTTATTAACTTTTGTTGATTTCTTTTGATCGTTTAAAGAGTTAATTTTAAAACCAAATTTGTGGGTATATAAATGACTATATTGTAATTTTTCAAAGTTCATTCTATTTATTATTATGTTATTATAATTTTCATGTAATTTTTGTTTATTTTGAAGTAAGAGGTCTAATCCACCTAAATGAATATTTATGGGCATAGCTTCTAAACCAATTCCATCTAATAGTTCACTGACTGATTCTGTTCTTGCTACAATACCTGATGTGCCAATATTTCCCCAATTTACAGATAAGGCAGATAGACCAAGTGATTTTCTGTGTTTTGCTAATGAATCCAATACACAATTTGCAGAGACATAGGTACATTGGTTCATAATACCAAATAATGATGAAATAGATGATGCCAATATGAAGTTGTTTACATTCCATTTGTATTTCAATGATAATTCGTGTAGATTGATTGCTCCTATAGTTTTAGCACCATGTGATCTGTTTATGCTTTCAGTATCAATGTTTATTGGTTCACATATATCATGCACAAAAGCATAATGGAATATGGAGTCAATGTTATTTAAAGATGGATGTTCATTGAATATATTATTGATGGCTGTTTCTATTTGGTCTTGATATTCGACATCGACACTCTTGAAATAATAGTTGATAGCTTTATTGCTATTGGATTTTGATTTATTCATTAATAATTCTAATTCCCATTTTAATGTGGATTTTGATAGAATAATAATGTTTTCTACTGATTTTGAATATTTGGAAATCCATTTAATAATTTCTAATGCAATTCCACTTTGACCTGTGATTAATATAGTTTTACCGATTTCTGAACTGATTGTGTAGTTAGATTTGATTATTGGTTGATCTGTTTCTTTGGTGCCTTCATCTTTATTCTTTAGCAAATGACTTGTAATATCTTTGTCGTAGTTTACAACAATTTTGCCAATGTGTTTTCTTTGATTAATATATTCGAATGCTTCTTTGATATTGAGTACTGAGTATTCTGTAATTGGTATTAATGATAATGATCCATTTGAAATACCTTCACTTATTTTTTTTAATATTTCATTTAAATACTCAAAGTCTAAAAGATACATTTCAACATTTGAATAGGTGTAGTTGTATTTAAATTTATTAAAGTCGATAAATTCATTTGGATTAAGGTGAGTGATTGATAAATCGACGATTCTTCCACCTTTGTTTAAGCATCTGAAATTTGATTCTAAATATTCAGCAGGCAATGTGTTTAATATAACATCTACACCTTGTTTATTGGATCCTAATTCTTTTAGTTTTTGTTTGATTTGTTGAACATAATCTTTGTTTCTAGTTGAATATATACCAGTAATAAGTGATCCGTATCTATCTTTCAAATATTTTTCTTTTTCTTCAGAACCAACTGTAACAAATAAATGTGATTTGAATCCTTTCCATTTTAACAATTCGATAGCTGATAAACCTACACCACCAGTAGCTGAGTGGATTAGTATTGATTCTTGATCATCCATGTCCAACTTACCAACTTTAAATATACTATAAAATGATGTTGCATATACCACTGGTACTGAAGCTGCTTCAACAAATGTTATATTGTTTGGCTTGTGGCATATTTGATTTTTGTTTAAAATTATGGTACTTGAAGATGTTCTGACGTTAAGAGTATAGACGTGGTCACCAACTTTGAAATTATCTACATTTTTACCGACAGATTTAACTATACCTGAACATTCAACTCCAAATTCTGGAGTGTGGATATCTGAGTTATGATTAATGAGTTCAGCCGGTAGATTTCTAGTATAAACCAAGTAATCTTTATAGTTAATGCCAATTGCTTGAACTTGAACCTCTATTTGATCTTCACCTAATTGTTTCTTTGATTCTAACTGAAATTCTAAATTTTCATTTAAAATTGAATGTAGGTTATCCTTATTATTGCCATTAAGTTTCTCAATTGAATTAGATGTGTATTTATTGAAAATATTTGTTTCAAATTTTATTCTTTCAATATAAACTTTGTTGTCTCTTATAATAAATTCTCTTTCTGTATTGTTTGTATCAATGAGTTGATTTATGAGTTGATTATTACTTATATTCATTAATGATTTATCATCAAAATCAATTGAAAATAATAATAATGTATCGAGTTGATCTAAAAAGAACCTGAATGAACCAGTTACTGATGATGCTAAATAGTTTGATGATTCTTTATAATAACAATTTTTTGATAATAGAACTAGTTTTGTCGATGTTAATTTATTTTTAAGTAAATATTGAACAATTTTAATGTATTCTAATGTAATTTGTTTAAAATTATTGATATTTAACTGATTAATAGTTTTGGTAAAATATATAATTGTATCTTGATTAATATCTTTTGAAATATTATTAAATTGCTCAATTGTATTTATAACAACTTGATTTTGTTGATCTTTTAAAAGATTATTTATAAATGATTGGTTGTTATTATTATTAATATCGCTATATACTATATTGTTTGTATTGATAAAAGACTGGGTTTCTTGTTTTTGAGAGTGGATTAAAATGTTTGAAATTCCATTACTCTCTGACATCTTAATGTTTTTGAAATTATTCTCGGATAATACTTTATACCATTGATCTTCAGTCATACTGCATCTGTCGGTTCTAAGTTCGGTATCTTCAAATGACCACCATTGATCAAAAACACCAAATATACTATCTCCAACTAAAGATTTGTAGCATGGTTCGATAAATAGTAAATATCCATTATGTTTTAATATTTGATGGATTTCATTTAAACCAAATGATATTTTCTTGACTACATGTATTACATTTGACATTACAACAAAATCATAATAGTTTGGTTTTAGCTGTTGGTTGCTGATAAGGTTATTTTCTAAATCCAATGTTTTGAATAAAACCGAAACATTATCGATACCAAAGGATGATAGCTTTTCTTTTGCACTGGATATGAATGTTTGGGAGACATCACTAAAAGTATATTCGATTTCGATTTCGATTTCATTTGATTCTTTACTTTTTAATAATTGATTAATTTTATTTAAAATTTCAAAGGATAATGATGCTGTTCCACCACCAAACTCTAAAATTCTAATAACATTCTTTTTCTTGATTAATGGATTCAATGAATCTATCAGAATATCTGATAATATTTTTTGATTTCTTGTGTAGTATGGATGGAGGTAAAATTCTTCTAAAAGGCCATTATCATATAGGGACGATGGTGTTTCTAATAACTCTTTATCTCCAAATGGGAATAATATATCAACCATTATTTTAGTGCTTTTTGTTATGATATTGCAGAAAACTAGTTTTTCTTCATTCCATTCAGATTCAATATACTCTTGTTGATAGTATTCTTTAATTGTTTCAAATACAAAATTAAATAGTCTTGAATGTTTTTGATTCGTTAAATATCTATCTCTTAACACTTGTATGGTATTATGTTTGATATCTTCTATTTTTAAATCTGGTATTTTATTTTTGATGCAGAAATAAATGATTGAAGGAATAAACTTGAAATAATTTTCTTTATCCCACTCAGTGTTGTTTTGTTGATGATTGAACAATTCTAAATTTGTTACAACTTCACAATCTTTTAACTGTAAATATGTTGTTTGAAATTCTTCTTGTGGGTATTGAATCTTTAATGGGTCCATTACTTGTATTGTTGATGTCATTGTAATCTTTTCAATTTCAAAGATAACTGTGCCATCATTTAGCATTATAGTAGTTGAAAACTCGAACGAATCACCTTTTTTTCCATGGTATTTTGAAAATACAAATAGATCTGAAGAATAGTTTTTAGGTAGGTTTGAAGAATAGAACTGAAAATTTTCTACTCTATCGAAAACCAACTGAGTATTTTCTTCAATTAAACACAGAGCGCCATGGGCACAGCAATCTAAAGTAGCACAGTCGATTATTGTTTTGACATTATTATGAATATGATTAAATTTAACTTGATTTAGTATGCAATTATCTCCAATAAAACTTTGTTTGACTGATTTAAAGAAGCCAGTGTAGACAATACCAGTTTTAACCTTAATATGATCATAGAAGGTTTGAGAGTTTAACATTGTTAAGTTGCATTTAGATTTTAAATGTTCAATATCCAATTTCTTTTCATTTGCATTTGTAAATCTAAAAGTTTGAAAGTTACCACAAGATGATAGAATCCATTTATTTGTATTGGGTTCGTAATAATGAAACTGAGCTCTATAGTCTTTCTTTGATGTTTGATAGATGTTGGTTTGCAATTGTTTGTTGACACCTTCAATAAATATTAATGGTACTTTGAATTCTAAATGTGATATTATTAAATCTTCATTTGGGAATGAGTTAATAATGTTTTCTATGTAGCCACAACCTGGAAAATAGTATTTGCCTTTAACTTGATGACCTTTTAAATATTGAAATTGAGGTTTTCCTATGTCAATAGTTGTTTTATATGTTATAAATGGTGATGTTGTGTTTTTATTTCCTAATATTTCAATAGCAGGGCCTTGTAGTCTGTTTTGTTTCTGTGTAGAGTCTTCTCTCCAAAATATTTTATCATCCCATTGATATCTTGGTAAATTTAAATCTTTATGTTTATATTGTAAAGAAGTTTGATAATCTTTGTTGATGGTTTTTAATTGATTTGTAAAATTAACTGGGTAATTATGATTGCAGTATAGTGTGGATACTAGTTGGAATATTTGGTTGATATCTCCTTTAGTTTTATTTAATGTGGTTAAAACTGTTGATTGAATTGATTGTGTTGATGGTGGTTGTATTTGTTTAATATGATAAGCTAATGCTGAATGTGGTGACAGTTCAATAAAAATTAGATTTTTGCGTGATTGATTGGATTCAATGTGTTGATATAGTTTTTGAATGGTTTGTGTAAAGTAAACTGGTTCTCTAATATTTCTAAAGCAATATTCTGAATTAAACTTATTATCTTGACCATTAAAGAAATCTTGGTAAATAGTTGATAATATTGGTATTTTTGGTTTAAATGATTCAAATTTGAGGTCAATTAGATCTTTTTTAACTTTATCTTGACTTGATGTGTGGAAAGATGATGGAGTATTTAAGAATGAAGTGTGTATATTTTGATTTTTTAATTTTGATTCAATTTCTTTTAGTTGGTCTTCATTACCACCAATTACAATTGAATTTGTTGAGTTATAACATGCGATTTCGATTGTTGGATATTCTTTTGAAAATTGATCGTTAAACTGATTAATGCTGATGTTTATTGATAGCATTTTGCCTGATCCTATTGTTTTTTGTTGAGCAATTGATCTATGATATAGAATATAACAGAGTGTGTCTAAATCGATTGATCCTGAGAAGTATTGAGAAGTTAATTCCCCCAAACTAAATTATAATAGATTAACATTAATATTTATAAATTTGACATTAAAAATTTGAATAGTATTATTGGATTATTTAATTAATAGTTACCTATGACCGATAATATAATTTGGATTAATATTCCATTGTTTTGTTAATGTTTCAAAAAGAGCGATTTGAATCATACAAATTGATGGTTGTGCGATAATTGGATGGTTAATTGTTTCATCGTTGGTTGATCTTAACCTCTCTAATATTGAATATCCATAATATTTGTTTAGCTTTGAATCTATTAAATCAATTGTTGATTTAAAGTATGAATCGTTGGTATACAACTGTTCGCCCATTCCATTCCATTGAGTACCTTGGCCACTGAAAATAAAACATATATTGGTGTCAATATTTTCTTTTTCAGACAATTTTAAATTTGAGGTAATTGAGTTATTTGTTTTAATAAAAGAATCAGTATTCTTTAAACTTGACCATTTGTTGGCTAATGTTACTGATCTTTGATAAAGTTTTGTTGATTTTGAAAAGATTTGGTATTGGACAAAATCAAAAAATTCACAATTTCTTGATAAATTGTTAATATCATTTTGAATACTTGATATATAAAGATTGAGAGATTGTTTACTGTTGGCTGAGAATGGTACTAAATATTGTTTGTTTTCTTCATATTGATAATATGTTGATTCTGATTCTCTACCTAACTCTGACAACACCATGCATACGTTTGAACCTGTAGGTTTTAAAATTAGAAAAAAAGTTAATGGTTTTAAATTAAAAAAACTAAAGGGTTAAATCTGATAGTTACCTGTGATACCAAAATTATTAATCATCATCGATACTTTTTTATTTGATGGAAATGGTTCTACCTCAGTAATAACTTTTAAATTCCATTCATCAAACTTTATAGCAGGATTGGGTGTATTAAAATTAATGTTTGGAGCAAATTGACGATGTTTAAACATTAAACAACATTTTATTAATGAAGCAATACCTGAGCAGCCTATAAGATAAATTAAAAGGTTGAAATAGGTTAATAAATATATATTGGAAAAAAAAATTTGTAAAAAATACATACATTCAACATGACCTATATTTGATTTTAATGAACCAATTAATAATGGATTTTGTTGATTGTGGTACTGTTTAAATGCCATGGAAATTGCTTCAACTTCAATAGGATCGCCAGTTGGTGTACCTGTACCATGACACTCTACAAAATCTACATCAGACTCGGTAACCTGTGATGAACATAGTCTGAACATTTCTTTAATATTGTCATATTGACTAGTTTTTGATGGTGAATAAAAGTTGTTTTTGTCACAGTTTCCATCTGCATTTGAATTAACTCCATTAATAACACAATAGACCCTATCACCATCATTAATGGCCTGTTCAAGATTTTTTAAAACAGCAACACAAACACCTTCACATCTTCCAAAACCATCTGCATCTGCACTGAACACCTTACAACGACCGTTTTTACTGAGCATATTTAAATATGTGTAAGCTTTTGGATAGGTCTCGTCCAATAACAAATTGGCACCAGCTACGATAGAATAATTAGATTTACCTTCTACTATACTTTGATATCCTAATGCAATTGCTGTTGAAGAACTACTACAAGCAGTATCGATAGACATAGATTGACCTCTAAAATCATAGCAATATGAAATTCTATTTGAAGCAGCATGACTATGAGACCCAAAAATATTTGGTAAAACCTCCTCTGAATTTTTTAAATTATTCTGATAGTCATTAGTTGATAAACCCACATATACACTTGTATTTGTACCACGTAGTTTAATAGGATCAATATGTGCATCTTCGAGTGATTCCCATACACCTATAAAATAGGAAGTATTAGTATTATTATCTTTCACTGATTGGTTTACAAATGTTTATTTAAAATAATCTTACATTTCAATAATAATCTCTGTTGAGGATCAATGGTATCACAATCAGATGGTGATATTGAAAACATTAGTGGATCAAATTGTTTGATTTCGTCTAGTGAAATTAAACCAGCATGATGATTTTTAATATCTTTGTTAAAATAATAATTATCACTCCATCTTTCTGATGTATCAACAATACCATCAAACTTGTTAATTAAATTATTCCATAGAGCTACTGGACTATTTGAATTACCTGGTAGTCTAAAGCCAACACCGATTACAGCAACACCTTTATTTCCGCTATTACTAAAAACTGTTTTCATTTTAAATTGAAATAAATAATTAGTATGAATGTGAAAAGAAAAAAATTCTTGAAAAAAAAAAAATTTATATGTGAAAATAAAAAAAAGATATTTCTAAATATGAAAAAAAAAATAATCAAATTATGAAAAAAAAAAAAAAAAAGATTTAATATTACCATTATATTAATGGACAGTTTGAGCCGGAATAATATTATTATTTAATATAAATTTTTTTTGAATCTAATGATATTTTAAAAAAAAAAATTAAAAAATAAAAAAAAAAAAAATGGGATAAATATTTTTTTTCATTTTTAATTTTTTGCTTTATTTTTATTGTGAAATTAATTTTTTTATAATATCATTAATAGAAAGTTTTTGGAGATCTGAAATATTAAACAAGTTTTTTTTGAACTTTTTATCTAACCAATTTTTTACCTGTACCACCAATAAACTATCGAATCCATAGTCTGAAAGTATGGTATTTGTATTAATATTTGATTCGTTTATTGATAATAAATCTGCTAATTTTGAAAGCACAGCATTTTGAAATTCATCGATGTGTTCTTCGTTTTTATTAACTTTTGTTGATATCTTTTTATCATTTAAAGAGTTAATTTTAAAACCAAATTTGTGGGTATATAAATGGCTAAATTGTATATTTTCAAAGTTCGTTCTATTTATTATTATATTATTGTAATCTTCATGTAATTTTTGTTTATTTTGAAGTAAGAGGTCTAATCCACCTAAAAGAATATTGGTTGGGATAGGTTCTAAACCAATTCCATCTAATAGTTGACCGATTGATTCTATTCTTGCTACAATACCTGATGTGCCAATGTTTCCCCAATTTACAGACAGAGCAGATAGACCAAGTGATTTTCTGTGTTTTGCTAATGAATCCAATACACAATTTGCAGAGACATAGGTACATTGGTTCATAATACCAAATAATGATGAAATAGATGATGCCAATATGAAGTTGTTTACATTCCATTTGTATTTCAATGATAATTCATGTAAATTGATTGCTCCTATAGTTTTAGCACCATGTGATCTGTTTATACTTTCAGTATCAATGTTTATTGGTTCACATATATCATGCACAAAGGCATAATGGAATATGGAATCAATGTTATTTATAGATGGATGTTCATTGAATATATTATTGATGGCTGTTTCTATTTGGTCTTGATATTCGACATCGACACTTTTGAAATAATAGTTGATGGATTTATTGCTATTGGATTTTGATTTATTCATTAATAATTCTAATTCCCATTTTAATGTGGATTTTGATAGAATAATAATGTTTTCTACTGATTTTGAATATTTGGAAATCCATTTAATAATTTCTAATGCAATTCCACTTTGACCTGTAATTAATATAGTTTTACCGAGTTCTGAACTGATTGTGTAGTTAGATTTGATTATTGGCTGGTTTGTTTCTTTGGTACCTTCATATTTATTTTGTAATAAGTGATCTGAAATATCTTTGTCGTAGTTTACAACAATTTTACCAATGTGTTTTCTTTGATTTATATATTCGAATGCTTCTTTGATATTGAGTACTGAGTATTCTGTAATTGGTATTAATGATAATGATCCATTTGAAATACCTTCACTTATTTTTTTTAATATTTCGTTTATATATTCAAAATCTAAAAGTAAAAGCTCAACATTTGAATAGGTATAGTTGTATTTAAATTTGTTAAAGTCAATAAATTCATTTGGATTAAGGTGAGTGATTGATAAATCGACGATTCTTCCACCTTTGTTTAAGCATCTGAAATTTGATTCTAAATATTCAGCAGGCAATGTGTTTAATATAACATCTACACCTTGTTTATTGGATCCTAATTCTTTTAGTTTTTGTTTGATTTGTTGAACATAATCTTTGTTTCTAGTTGAATATATACCAGTAATAAGTGATCCGTATCTATCTTTCAAATATTTTTCTTTTTCTTCAGAACCAACTGTAACAAATAAATGTGATTTGAATCCTTTCCATTTTAACAATTCGATAGCTGATAAACCTACACCACCAGTAGCTGAATGTATTAATATTGATTCTTGATCCTCAATGTCCAACTTCCCAATTTTGAATATACTATAAAATGATGTTGTATATACCCCTGGTACTGAAGCTGCTTCAACAAATGTTATATTGTTTGGCTTGTGGCATATTTGATTTTTGTTTAAAATTATGGTACTTGAAGATGTTCTGTTGTTAAGAGTATAGACATGGTCACCAACTTTGAAATTATCTACATTTTTACCGACAGATTTAACTATACCTGAACATTCAGCTCCAAATTCTGGAGAGTGGATATCTGAGTTGTGATTAATGAGTTCAGCGGGTAGATTTCTAGTATAAGCCAAGTAATCTTTATAGTTAATGCCAATTGCTTGAACTTGAACTTCTATTTGATCTTCACCTAATTGTTTCTTTGATTCTAACTGAAATTCTAAATTTTCATTTAAAATTGAATATAAATTATCCTTATTATTGCCATTAAGTTTTTCAATTGAATTTGATGTGTATTTATTGAAAATATTTGTTTCAAATTTTATTCTTTCAATATAAACTTTGTTTTCTCTTATAATAAACTCTCTTTCTGTATTGTTTGTATCAATGAGTTGATTTATGAGTTGATTATTACTTATATTCATTAATGATTTATCATCAAAATCAATTGAAAATAATAATAATGTATCGAGTTGATCTAAAAAGAACCTGAATGAACCAGTTACTGATGATGCTAAATAGTTTGATGATTCTTTATAATAACAATTTTTTGATAATAGAACTAGTTTTGTTGATGTTAATTTATTTTTAAGTAAATATTGAACAATTTGAATGTATTCTAATGATATTTGTTTAAAATTATTGGTATTTAACTGATTAATAGTTTTGGTAAAGTATATAATTGTATTTTGATTAATATCTTTTGAAATATTATTAAATTGCTCAATTGTATTTATAACAACTTGATTTTTTTGATCTTTTAAAAGATTATTTATAAATGATTGGTTGTTATTATTATTAATATCGCTATATACTATTATATTGCTATTGTTTGTATTGATAAAGGACTGAGATTCTTGTTTTTGAGAGTGGATTAAAATGTTTGAAATTCCATTACTCTCTGACACATTAATGTTTTTGAAATTATTTTCAGATAATACTTTATACCATTGATCTTCAGTCATACTGCATCTGTCTGTTCTTATCTCGGTATCTTCGAATGACCACCATTGATCAAAAACACCAAATATACTATCTCCAACTAAAGATTTGTAGCATGGTTCGATAAATAGTAAATATCCATTATGTTTTAATATTTGATGAATTTCATTTAAACCAAATGATATTTTCTTGACTACATGTATTACATTTGACATTACAACAAAATCGTAATAGTTTGGTTTGAGTTGTTGGTTGCTGATAAGGTTATTTTCTAAATCCAATGTTTTGAATAAAACCGAAACATTATCGATACCAAAGGATGATAGCTTTTCTTTTGCACTGGGTATGAATGTTTGGGAGACATCACTAAAAGTATATTCGATTTCGATTTCGATTTCGATATCATTTGATTCTTTACTCTTTAATAGTTGATTGATTTTATTTAAAATTTCAAAGGATAATGATGCTGTTCCACCACCAAACTCTATAATTCTAATAACATTCTTTTTCTTGGTTAATGGATTCAATGAATCTATCAGAATATCTGATAATATTTTTTGATTTCTTGTGTAGTATGGATGGAGGTAAAATTCTTCTAATAGGCCATTATCATATAGTGACGATGGTGTTTCTAATAAATCTTTATCTCCAAATGGGAATAACAGATCAACCATTATTTTGGTGCTTTTTGTTATGATATTGCAGAAAACTAGTTTGTCTTCATTCCATTCAGATTCTATATACTCTTGTTGATAGTATTCTTTAATCGTTTCAAATACAAAATTAAATAGTCTTGAATGTTTTTGATTCATTAAATATCTATCTCTTAGCATTTGAATTGTATTATGTTTGATATCTTCTATTTTTAAATCTGGTATTTTATTTTTGATGTAGAAATAAATGATTGAAGGAATAAACTTGGAATAATTTTCTTTATCCCACTCAGTGTTGTTTTGTTGATGATTGAACAATTCTATATTTGTTACAGCTTCACAATCTTTTAACTGTAAAAATGTTGTTTGAAATTCTTCTTGTGGGTATTGAATCTTTAATGGGTCCATTACTTGTATTGTTGATGTCATTGTAATCTTTTCAATTTCAAAGATAACTGTGCCATCATTTAGCATTATAGTAGTTGAAAACTCGAATGAATCACCTTTTTTTCCATGGTATTTTGAAAATACAAATAGATCTGAAGAATAGTTTTTAGGTAGGTTTGAAGAATAGAACTGAATATTATCTACTCTGTCAAAAACCAACTGAGTATTTTCTTCAATTAAACACAGAGGACTATGAATACAGCAATCTAAAGTAGCACAGTCGATTATAGTTTTGACATTATTATGAATATGATTAAATTTAACTTGATTTAGTATGCAATTATCTCCAATAAAACTTTGTTTGACTGATTTAAAGAAGCCAGTGTAGACAATACCAGTTTTAACCTTAATATGATCATAGAAGGTTTGAGAGTTTAACATTGTAAATTTGCATTTAGATTTTAAATGTTCAATATCCAATTTCTTTTCATTTGCATTGGTAAATCTAAAAGTTTGAAAGTTACCACAAGATGATAGAATCCATTTATTTGTATTGGGTTCGTAATAATGAAACTGAGCTCTATAGTCTTTCTTTGATGTTTGATAGATGTTGGTTTGTAGTTGTTTGTTGACACCTTCAATAAATATTAATGGTACTTTGAATTCTAAATGTGATATTATTAAATCTTCATTTGGGAATGAGTTAATAATGTTTTCTATGTAGCCACTACCTGGAAAATAGTATTTGCCTTTAACTTGATGACCTTTTAAATATTGAAATTGAGGTTTTTCTACATCAATAGTTGTATTATATGTTATAAATGGTGATGTTGTATTTTTATTTCCTAATATTTCAATAGCAGGGCCATGTAGTCTGTATTGCTTCTGTTTAGAGTCTTCTCTCCAAAATATTTTATCATCCCATTGATATCTTGGTAAATTTAAATCTTTATGTTTATATTGTAAAGAAGTTTGATTATCTTTGTCAATGGTTTTTAATTGATTTGTAAAATTAATTGGATAATTATGACTGCAGTATAGTGTGGATATTAGTTGGGATATTTGGTTGATATCTCCTTTAGTTTTATTTAATGTGGTTAAAACTGTTGATTGAATTGATTGTGTTGATGGTGGTTGTATTTGTTTAATATGATAGGCTAATGCTGAATGTGGTGAAAGTTCAATAAAAATTAGATTTTTGCATGATTGATTGGATTCAATGTGTTGATATAATTTTTGAATGGTTTGTGTAAAGTAAACTGGTTCTCTGATATTTCTAAAGCAATATTCTGAATTAAACTTATTATCTTGACCATTAAAGAAATCTTGGTAAATAGTTGATAATACTGGTATTTTTGGTTTAAATGATTCAAATTTGAGGTCAATTAGATCTTTTTTAACTTTATCTTGACTTGATGTGTGGAAAGATGATGGGGTATTTAAGAATGCAGTGTGTATGTTTTGATGTTTTAATTTTGATTCAATTTCTTTTAGTTGGTCTTCATTACCACCAATAACAATTGAATTTGTTGAGTTATAAATGCGATTTCGATTGTTGGATATTCTGTTGAAAATTGATCGTTAAACTGATCACTGCTGATGTTTATTGATAGCATTCTGCCTGATCCTATTGTTTTTTGTTGAGCAATTGATCTATGATATAGAATATAGCAGAACGTGTCTAAATCGATTGATCCTGAGAAGTATTGAGAAGTTAATTCCCCCAAACTAAATTATAATAGATTAACATTAATATTTATAAATTTGACATTAAAAATTTGAATAATATTATTGGATTATTTAATTAATAGTTACCTATGACCGATTATATAATCTGGATTAATATTCCATTGTTTTGTTAATGTTTCAAAAAGAGCGATTTGAATCATACAAATTGATGGTTGTGCGATAATTGGATGGTGAATTGTTTCATCGTTGGTTGATCTTAACCTCTCTAATATTGAATATCCGTAATATTTGTTTAGCTTTGAATCTATTAAATCAATTGTTGATTTAAAGTATGAATCGTTGGTATACAACTGTTCACCCATTCCATTCCATTGAGTACCTTGGCCACTGAAAATAAAACAAATATTGGTGTCAATATTTTCTTTTTCAGACAATTTTAAATTTGAGGTAATTGAGTTATTTGTTTTAATAAAAGAATCAGTATTCTTTAAACTTGACCATTTGTTGGCTAATGCTACTGATCTTTGATAAAGTTTTGTTGATTTTGAAAAGATTTGGTATTGGACAAAATCAAAAAATTCACAATTTCTTGATAAATTGTTAATATCATTTTGAATACTTGATATATAAAGATTGAGAGATTGTTTACTGTTGGCTGAGAATGGTACTAAATATTGTTTGTTTTCTTCATATTGATAATATGTAGATTCTGATTCTCTACTTAACTCTGATAACACCATGCATACGTTTGAACCTGTAGGTTTTAAAATTAGAAAAACAGTTTTAAATTAAAAAAAGTAAAGAGTTAAATCTGATAGTTACCTGTGATACCAAAATTATTAATCACCATCGATACTTTTTTATTTGATGGAAATGGTTCCACCTCAGTAATAACTTTTAAATTCCATTCATCAAACTTTATAGCAGGATTGGGTATATTAAAATTAATGTTTGGAGCAAATTGACGATGTTTAAACATTAAACAACATTTTATTAATGAAGCAATACCTGAGCAGCCTATAAGATAAATTAAAAGGTTGAAATAGGTTAATAAATAAATTTATATGGAAAAATAATTTTGTAAAAAATACATACATTCAACATGACCTATATTTGATTTTAATGAACCAATTAATAATGGATTTTGTTGATTGTGGTACTGTTTAAATGCCATGGAAATTGCTTCAACTTCAATAGGATCGCCAGTTGGTGTACCTGTACCATGACACTCTACAAAATCTACATCAGACTCGGTAACCTGTGATGAACATAGTCTGAACATTTCTTTAATATTGTCATATTGACTAGTTTTTGATGGTGAATAAAAGTTGTTTTTATCACAGTTTCCATCTGCATTTGAATTAACTCCATTAATAACACAATAGACTCTATCACCATCATTAATGGCCTGTTCAAGATTTTTTAAAACAGCAACACAAACACCTTCACATCTTCCAAAGCCATCTGCATCTGCACTGAACACCTTACAACGACCATTTTTGCTGAGCATATTTAAATATGTGTAAGCTTTTGGAAAGGTCTCGTCCAATAACAAATTGGTACCAGCTACGATAGAATAATTAGATCTACCTTCTATTATACTTTGATATCCTAATGCAATTGCTGTTGAAGAACTACTACAAGCAGTATCGATAGACATAGATTGACCTCTAAAATCATAGCAATATGAAATTCTGTTCGAAGCAGCATGATTATGAGACCCAAATATATTTTGTAAAACCTCCTCTGAATTTTTTAAATTATTCTGATAGTCATTAGTTGATAAACCCACATATACACTTGTATTTGTACCACGTAGTTTAATAGGATCAATATGTGCATCTTCGAGTGATTCCCATACTTATAAATATTGAATAAAAAAAAAAAAAGATTTTATATAAAGTACCATTTATGGTAATAGATAAACTGGAATTGTATTATTTTTTAATATTTAATTTTTTTGGTAATCTAAAATATTAATTAAAGAAAAATAGAAATCTATTTATTTTTTTAAGGTAATACTGAAAACTCTATATTAATCATTAATAAGATTACCACCAAAACAAATCTGTATAATTAATAAAATAACCACCAAGGATATCTTCTTTTACAAAAAAATCAAATACCCACACAAAAAATTTAGTTTTCTAAAATTAAATCTTTATAATTTTTAGTCATCATTATTAATTTTTTATTTAATGGGGGGGGGGAAAAAAATATAAAAAAGTGATGGATAAATGTGTTTGATGTGTGTTTTTAACTTTTTTAATATTTAACAAATTAATTAATAAATAAAGATAATAATAAAGAGGATTGAGCTTGAATTTGGGTAATACAAATATTTATATAAGAATAATTTATAAAAAAGAAATAAAATATATTAAATTATATACTATTGATTTTGAAATTATGATAATAAATAGGATGCTTCGTTACTGTTTTTGGCTGAGGGTGAATATACAAAAGATGGGGAATCGAAACTACTGTTACTTCCATTACGGGACGGCGAATTATAGTAACTATAACCATCACCGCCTATAGTTTGAATCTCGTTATTACCACCACCACTGTTGTTATTCTGATCACTGTAGTCTTGACTGGCGCCATAATAACTTTCATTTAAAGCGTAATTGCCCATACCATTATAATCTTCATTGTCATTCTCTTCTTCATACAACATATTTATATAGGTTTGATCCTCTTGTTCATTTTTCATATTTGAATGAATAATTGAAATTTGAATTAATGTTGGTATGATGTCTGGAATGAAATAGCCAAATGTAATAAAAACTTCATAGTTTAAATATTTATGTGTGATTGGGTTATAAAAGAATATAACGGTTCTAATTAAAAAACAACATGAGAATCCAATAGATAAAAAACAAATTTTTCTAACTTGGCTGATTTGATTTCTGCATACATCCTTATCTATGGATGTAAACTTTAAGTAAATTCTTAATACAATAAATAAAAATGATAATCCAATAAACAATGATATGAAACCTTGATGTATAACAATATATTATAAAAATAAAAGACATTAGTATTTTATAATTGTTTTTAAATGCTTTATAATAACATACATTGATATAATGTGTTTATTAGATACACTGTCCCACCTTCTCTTTTTTGATTATCAACAGAATAAAATAATATAATAAGGGTTAATTGGATTAAATACATGAAAACTGTTAATAAAATGAATGATAGCTTGAATCTTGGTAAAAATTCATTGGTAGATACATAAGTTGAATTGTATCTTTCCCACCAAAAAAATAATACCACCAATAAACCTGTCATATAAAATGGAAATGAAATATTATTTAAAAAAAAGGTTATTGGTCCTTCACCTGTAATAACCCTCATTAAATACCAAACAATTCTAGCTATAAATAATAAACGATGATACATTAATAACTTTACTACGGTTGTTGTTGTTTTTAGATTAATCTGCTACTTTAAAAATACATACTGGTAGTATATACAAATAAAAAAATATGAAAAATCTGAATGTATATTTAAAAAAAAACAAGGTTAATATCAACATGCAATCTTTGTCTGTTATTGATATCTCTTTAAAACATACCCTCGATAGAATTTGACCTTCTTTTTTATAAAATGATTTAAAAAATGAATATACACAAATAATTGATAATGCGGCATAAATAATCAACGATATAATCGAAATTGCCAAAAATACACCAGTTCTTGGGTTTTGATTGTCTTCATTCGATCCTGACGAAAGCAATGATAGTACAGGCGAAAGTGTTGACAATGACATTTTTATTTTTTATTAATTATATAAATTATTTTATTTTTTAAATTTTTTCCTCCTGCTATATTATCATTATATTTTTTAAGTTTTGTATATGATTAATTAATTATTATTGTTTTATTTTTAACACACCACCAATTTAAAAAAAAAAAAAAAAAAAAGCTTGTTTAAATTTTCAGGTTATAACATAAAAAATTAAAAAAAAAAATAAAAAAAAATAAAAAAATTAAAAAAATAAAAAAAAAAGGTATAATAAAAATTAAATGTAATTATTTTAGAAAATGGGGAAAAAAAAATTAAAAAAAAAATCAAAAAAAAAAAAATCAAAAGAAAAATCTTTTTTTTGGTTGTTGGGAATACTGTTTTTTTTTCCTGTGGGTTTGATTTATTGTAATTGGAAAATTATAATAATAGGGCTTTAATCCTTGAGATTAATTTATTTAATGTTGTTGTTTTAATTAATTTAAGATTAAATTTGATAATTTTCTTTTAACCAAGATTGATATCTTGAATTTTTGACTTTAATTTCCTTAAAGCAGAAATAAAACCTTTGCTTGGGGGTAAACTTATACAAAATAGGGCATTATTATTATTATTATTATTATTATTACTATTGTTATTTTCACTATTTAAAAACTGATCAATTCTTTGTAAAATATTTATTTTTTTTTGTTTGAAGTGATTTATGATTATATCTTTAAAAAGGATTGGTTGATTTTTTAAATAAAAGTATATAGTTTCCAAAGACAAGAGATAAGAGTCTTCATTGTATAGAGATGAATTTCTGACACCTATGTGAGTTCCAATTTGAGTTTCATAACCAGCCTCTAAGAAATAGGGTTCTTTGCAACCTAAAATCAAACCTTGGATACTAATTAAAACTTGAAGTAGATTTGAAACATCTGGTATCCACATTTCATTTCGATTGCCGTGCCATGTGCCCAACAACGATAAACATACGGTACCATTTACATTTAAATTTGGATGTAGCTTGAATGAAACACTATGGAAGAATACTTTGGGTGCTACTGATGGATAATTGGATGGTAAGAAAATGTCAAATATAAAAACGCTATTTTCATAAATTGTATCTTCTGGACCAATGATGAGTGCACTGAATAAATTGATTCTGCTGGAGTTTGCTTTAACAAAAATACCTGGTGGCAAAGATGTACGAAGTATTTCTAACTCTTTATTAAAAGCAACCATAAATTTCTTATTTGGTGAGCATTTCTCTTCAAAAAAGTTATGGGCTTCAAACTCTTTGAGCATTTCAAATTTCAAAACACCATTTTCATATTGTGAACCCTCTTGGTCAGCGTCGGTGTCTGTGTCAATTGCGGTATTGGTGCTGCTTGGTTCGTTTGGTGTTTCTTGGGTGTCTGCATTATCTTCTTTACCTTCATATTTATCTAAAAGGTCCTTTAATGTATCTTTGGCTTTTTTAGCTCTTTCTAATAATTTTGATTCACCAGCCTCTAAACCATCTTTTGATTCTTTAGTTTCCAAATTTTGGTTAAACTTTTCTAATCTCTTTAAAATGTTTTGGCCAACTTGATTAATCTTTTCTTCATCAGATAGATCCATTGATTCGTATTCTTCTTCTTCTTCTTCATCATCAGATTCGTCAAAGTCATCAACTTTGGTTAAATCGAATGGGTATACCATTTCTTCATAACCATTGTTCCACATAATAATTAATTTTAAATCTTCTTTGCAAATAACTTGACCCAAGACATCTGCTTCTTTTAATTTTAACTTGTCGTCGACTTTGCAAACATAGTCTGACATATCGAAATTATAATCTTCAAAATATTCGATATCATAAACTGAAATATCGCTTTCGACAAAAGTTGATTTGCCGCTGTGTTCTTTATTCATATAAATTTCTTGATTCTCATTGTTTTCTAGACTCTGCTCTTTATATTGCCCCAATTCTCTTAATTTCGTATGGTTAATATTATTCCATTTTACTGTTACTGTTCTTTCAGTTGGTTTATATGACAAAATTACACCCCATAATTTGTTTTCATTACTGTATGGCTTTTCAATATCAAGACTACTATGACAAACAATATCTCCAGGGAAATAATCTGTAGCGAGTGGATCGCAAATCATTAAAGTTGTTGAGTCTTCATATTTAATTTCGCCATCTTGCCATGCTACTAAATATTTTGTACTTGTTAAATATAAAAAGCCACCTTTTATATTTCCTTCTGAATCTAAAATTCATAATAAATTAGTATTTAGTGTTTTATAAATTTACTATGTATGTGTAATATGTAATTTTACCTTCATATGTAACTGCTTCAAACGATAAAAAAACTTCGAAATCATCTCTGAATGGTATAATATTGTGAATTGGTTGGGTTGGGTTTGGCAAGTCTTGGATTTCGTCATTGAAGAAATATAACCACTCTACATTTGCAGATGTTGGTATTAACTTTGTGATTGTTAACTCTTTATTCTTATAATAAATTAATTTACCTGGACATAAAGTAAAATCCTTGCTATAAATACGATGAAAGATAATGTTTGCTCTAGTTGCATCTTTGATTTTTACAATTTTATTATTTGAATCTAAACATTCCAAATCATAACGGACCTAAAATAAAAGAGTTGATATGTCAGTATGAAAATTTATATAATCTAGAAATAGCGGATAAATGTTAATATAGGATTCTTACAGATTCAATAACACCAGCAGCAATTCTTTTTTCATCCATAACCTTTTGACCTTTGATAAAGTTTGATGTTGCATTTACTTTATCTAAAATTACTATATCACCTTGAGTGATGAGACCAGTATGAATAGCTTCGAATGGCATTACAAAATATTTCTTTCTTTTATCGATAACTGAGCCTAGTAACTGACTATTTGAACCAATCTTTTGGACAGCATCTGTAAAATGAAAATTTCTATCAAATAATGTAATATCTTGTATGCATTCATTATAGTCCAATTCGGTTAGATCATTGGCACCACTAATACCAGCTAACAATACACCAGTTTCATTATTAGTAAAACTATAATATTCGTACTCGGATCCATATGTATTATAATCAGAGCCTTCATAGTCTTCATCATATTCGTCTTCATCTTCATCTTCTTCTTCATCTTCATCTCCATCTTCATTTTCATCAAGCTCCTCTCCATGCTCTTTTAATTCTTTTTTTAATTCCGATACCATTTCTTTAATTTTTTCAGTATGGTAATTTGTTGTTTTTTTTTTATCTTTATTATTTTCATTTGATTCATCATGCATATCTTCCATATGATCATCTGTATCATCTGTATCATCAATATCTAAATTATCATGGTCCCATGCTACTCTTACAACAACATAGTATTGTCCTTTATATACTACGATATCATCGGTAAATAAATTCTGTATTTAATATTTGGTTAGATTTTAATCTTTTTATTTATATTATTATTTATAATATGCTATAGGTACCTTTTGTTTTACAAATGATATATCTTTATTTTCTTCCATTAATCGTCCCTTTATCGAGTTTTCTATTTACAGCTGCACTATTTAATCACACACTTAATATTACTTATTATAAAAATTTTATTTTAATTAAATATTGCCAAAAAAAATTTAAAAAAAAAAAAAAAAATTCGTTGTTTTTTAAAAATTTTAATATTTATTTTTATTTTTTTTTTTAAAATTTTTATAAAAAAATATTAAATGATAAAATTATTAGAAAATTTAATATACCAAATATAATGTTTAAACATTTTTCTGATCATCAAAAAAAAATGAAAAATAAAAACAAAGAAATAAAGTTTTGATAAAATAAAAAAAAAAAAAAATGTGGGTTGTTGTTTTAAAAAAAAATTATTTTTTTATTATGATTTTTCTTTTTTGGTTTTAATACTATTTCTATTATTATTTTTAGTTTTTTTTATAATTTATTATATTTAGTTTATTTCTTTTACTAATAATGTAGTATTTTTTTTATTTTTTTTTTTGATTGAAACAATTTGTTTAAATTTATTTGTGGGGTGGGTTTGATATTCATCTATTTCAAAATTTTAAAGAAAACTAATCTTAAAGTATTGTTGGTGTTGAAATGAAATATGATGAAAATATTTTAATTATTTTATACATTTGGTGGTGTTAACTGGAGGTGATTTTACCGTTTTATTATTATTATTATTATTGTTATTATTATTATTTTAGTGACTAAAATTCATTTTTGCTAAAAATGCAGTCCATAAAATATTACCACAGTTCATAAAGTTCACTCTGTGATGATTTGAAATATATTTAAAATTTAAGAAATTGATAATTGGCCAAACCATACAATCGGCTCTGTAGGTTTCCCACCAATCTTTTTTAAGTTTCTCTTTAATTTGATCTAAATTTTTGCCTTCTAAAATTCCCATACCTGTAAAGAAAACTGCGTTGAATATTGGAGCACAAGTTGTCTGATCTATTAACATTTTAATATAAATATGACGACTTGTTTTCTTGGGATACCATTTATCCAATAAGTTGTACCAATAATGAAATACTGGTCCAGTAACACAAAATCCGAATACAGCCATTCTTAATGAACGGTCCAATTTGTATTTCGGTCTCTCTGTCCCCTCTTTATCTTTATAACTAAAAATTTCAATACCTTGTACTAATGAGTCTGATAAAAAATACAGTGTTCCCGATGTTGCCGCCTGAAATTAATTGTTAAAATTAATAAAAAAATTAATAACTAATTTCTATTTATAAATAAAAATCCACCATTATTGAAAATGAAACCTACCTTTGTAATTATGGGTTTAGTATGTAATAAATGAATATATTTTGAGGAATAGGATGCATATAATCTTTTGATGACTTCCTTCATTTTTATATATAGGTATATGGTTTTGTTCGGATTCTATATGCTATATGTGGTATTATATATTATTGTTGTTTTTAGTAATGATATTATCGTAGAAGGACATCTAATATAATAGATGCTCTTTTTTTTTAATTTGAGGCTTTCAAAGTGGGTGAAGCAGTATGAAACGAAATTTAAAAAAAAAAAAAAAATTTAAAAAAAAATTAAAAAATTAAAAAAAAAAAATTAAAAAAAATAAAAAAAAAAAAAAAACTTTTTAAATGAAAACAAATAATTAGTTATACAAAAATGATTCTTTTAAATAATAAAATTTTTTTATATGAATAATTCCTCTTTTATTACTATAATACAATAACCATAATAATAGTATAAAAATTAATCAATATTTTTCTCATTTGTTTTTTTTTTTTATATTTTAATTTTTATTTCTGTAGTATTTGTATCTTCATTTTTATTTCAGTAAACAGGTGAATATCATCAGTACCACTGAACATACAAAATAAAAATTAAAATATAAAAAAAAAAGTTATTCATTCATAAAAAATTACCCCCCAAAAAATAATAAAAGAAATATGATAGGAATATATGATCACGAATTGCAATTTAATATAGAAATTTAAGACAGAAAATTCAAAAGATAACAAAATCTCACAGTGATGAGGAAGAGGTGTTAATTGGAATTTGGTTAATAAAAAAGACGAAATTAAATAGAGTCTTTTTTTTAAAACTGAAAATGTAAATTTATTTTATTTATTTAATTTTCTTCTTCAGTCAATTTGTTAAAAGCTTCTTCTATTTTTTCTGGTGTAAAATCATTGGAGTTATCACATAGCCTAACTACTTTTCCATCAACAAAGCCGATATTCATATATTTTGCATTTGGGGTTAATGTATTTCCATTGAGACACCAGTAATATTCAGAAACTGAGCAACCTGAGGCCTTTTGATCAGATACCATTTTGCAATCGTCAAAGTAGTTTGAAATAAGTTTTCCTTCCATCGAAAAAGTGAATTTTGTAATTATTTTCATTCTCTCTTTACATTTTTCGTTGCATGAACTTGGATCGAAAACTGGAAAATCATCGTCAAAGTGCTTTAAATCTTGATAGTAAGTAAAGGGGTAACTTTTAATTTTTTCAAATGAAAATTTTTTATGTTCACACATTTTGTATCACTCTTTTTATATTATGTGATTGAATATAAAGTTTTGAAAAATATTTAATAAAAAATAATATTAAAAAATTTAATAAAAAAAAATTAATATAAAAAAAAAAATTAAAATTTAATATAAAAAAAAAATAATATTTAATAGGTGTTATTTTTTTGATAACCCACTAAAATGTACAAAATATTTTAAGATCATTTTATAATATGGATATTGATAACCCAATTGCCAATATTGAACTGGTCATGACACTGTTACCTTTGCCGGTGTTGCCCATTTTCTTTCAAATACAAATGATGTTGATGTGCCAGATAAAAATTTTACACAATTTATTTTTCAATACACTGGAAATCAAGTTCTGGACAGTGATTACAGTAAATTTGATAAAAAAGATTCTTGTGAAGACAGTTCAGAATCCGAAGAAAAAGTTGTTTCTCCTAAAACTGTCAAGTTTGAAAAAGCATCAGTATCGCGATATACAAGTTCGACTTGCTAGTTTACTTAAAACTACAGTTTGGTCGGTATATCACAGAAGTGATAAAAATTTAATCCGAAAAAAAGAATAAAATATTAAATCTGATGCTGATGGTGCAGATGCAAATGGTGCAGATGCTGATACGGATGCTGTTGCAGAAAGTTATATAAGGTTTACTGAATTTTCTCTTGTTCATCAGTTAAAGAATCGAATTGTAATGTTAAGACCACAATTAAACATAGAAATAAAGTCGAGATATCCCCATGAATTGTCCTGTATTTAAACTGAAAAAGATATCAAAATCTCAAATAATTAGGAAGAGGTATTAATTGGAATTTTTGTTTAATAAAATAAAAGAGGTAATTAAATTATGTATTTTTTAAAATACTGCAAATGCATTTTATTTTATTTATTTAATTTTCTTCTTTAATCAATTGATTAAAAGCTTCTTCTAATTTTTCTGGTGTAAAATCATTGGAGTTATCACACATACGAACAACTTTTCCTTTAACTAAACCGAGATTCATATATTTAGCATTTGGGGTTAATTTATTTCTATTGAGACACCAGTAATATTCAGAAATAGAGCAACCTGAGGCCATTTGCTCAGATACCATTTTGCAATCTTCAAAGTAGTTTGAATTAAGTTTTTTTTCCATTGAATAAGTGAATTCTGTAATCTTTTTCATTTTCTCTTTACATTTATCAGTGCATGAACTTGAAAAATCATCGTCAAAGTGCTTTAAAGCAATTTTTTCATAGAGGGAAAAGTGGCCTCTTTTTAATTTTTTAAAAGAGAAATTTTTATGTTGGCACATTTTAAGTTATTATTATTTTATATTGTATATAATGTTTTTGTTTGAAAAAAAAAAAAAAAATAATATTTTTAAAATATAAAGTAAAAAAAAAAAAAATTAAAAATAATAGTGGGTTATTTTTAGGATAACTTAATATAAATTTTTAGGCGTTAAGTTTTGTGAATTTTTATATTATTTTTTGAAGTGGTAATTGTGAATAATAAAAATAATAAAAAATAATATGGAGTGGTTGTGTTAAGAGTGGGTTAAAACAAAAGATGGTAACACCACAGAGGGTTAATCACATTTTATCTAGTTATTTTTAGCACTTGTCTATTCAAATAATAGTACACAATTATAATTTTTATTATTATTTTTTTTTTTTTACAAAACAACATCAACATCAATATTGATGTAATAATGATTTTAATATTGAAATTAAAAATAGATATCTTTTCAACAAATAATTAAAAAAAAAGAAAAACTATATACACTTTAATTATTTTAGTGATTTGTGTGTAGAGTTTATTAAAAATAATTAAATTTTTATATTTATAAAAATTAAATTATATATTATGTTTTTTTATTTTGTTTTGATTTATAATAATTTAATGAAATCAAATGTTTGAACATCATTTGTGTTAGTGATAGATTTGAATGAGATGACTAAATTACCAGATTCGAATGACCATAACCAATAACCACTTTGAGTTTCATTGTGTTTAATGACAATAGTACGATTTGAGGTGGCTTCTTGAACAGCTTCTAACACCATTTCATCGGCACAACGTTTAGCAAGATTGGCAGCTACTTTTTCAACAACACCAGCGAAAATATGACCAAAGCTATTTTTTAAATCAGCAGCAACATGTGGGTATACAGCCTCTAATGAAGCTTGATCAATAGTCCAATCGGCATCGGATTTCATTGCTTTTTTTACAGAAGCTAAGTTTGCAGCCATTTTAGCTTCATTTTCTTTGATATTTAAACGAGTCATTAAAGAATATACACCTTCAGTTGGGAGAATAGTTTCTAATTTGGCAGTAAAGACATCATTGGTGTTGCAGATTTTTGGACGGAATGAAATTACACAATTACCATCAACAAATGAGTATTGCCAATAGGATGGTAATTTTTCATCAGCAGCAACAAATACAATCTTCTTGTTTGGAACAGCATTTAAGAAAGCTTCTTTAACCATATCGTTTTTACTGACTTTGGTATCAATGTTTTTAGCTAAATTACCAACAACATCCTTGTAAAAGATTGAGCCACAGCTATTTGTTACCCAATTATCATTACATTTGGTGATGATATCTTCAAAATCGAAAACAATTTCAAATGGAGTACCTAAAGCTTTTTCAATAGTAGCTAAATGAGTTTTGAGAGTTTCTTCGTTATCTTTTAATGATTTTCTAGTTGTTAATGATAAAGGCATTTTATTTTTATATATATATATTAATTTATTTTTTTATTTATTTTTTTATTTATTTTATAAATTGATGATGAATGAAAATTTAAAAACTTTTGTATTTATATTTAAAAAAAAAACATATGAACATGGCAATATGAAAAAATATCTAAAAAAAAAATGAAAGAAAAAAGAAAATAAAAATATCTAAAAAAAAAAAGAAAAGAAAATAAAATATTTAGAAAGATATAAAAATTATTTCTTTTTTAAATTGAAAACTATCTGTTATTAATAATTTCTAAATTATTTCTTTAACCTATTAAGGTTTATAAGAATTTTTTTTTTTAAAGATTTATTACATTTCTATATTTTTTTTAAATTTTTAAATAGAAATATTTTTGTGTATTAATTAATGTGTAGTTTGGTATGCGTGTAAATTATTGATTTGATATTAATTTAAAGTTGAAGTGTTGTGTAACAAAGACTTTTGTGTGTGTAAAAAAAATCGCTGAAGTGATAAAAATTTAATCGAAAAAAAAAAAAAAATTTTAAAATTTTATAAAAAAAACAAAAAAAAAATTAAATTTTATTTATAAATAATCGTGTATTTTTAGATGAAAAATTTATTTATTAATACAATGTTATTTAGACAATTATATTTAAAGACCATAATATAATTGTCTCCTTATTTGGTTGAAGCAAAGAGTTGATACTAAAAATCTTTTTTTCTTTTTATCCCAATTCATTTTGGGGGACGCTTCCCAACTATTTATTTTAAAAAACACACGTTCCTCCACAACCATCACCTTGTTTTTTTTCATCATTTTCCTTAATTTTTTTTATTATAATATTACCAAAATCTTTTTAATTTTTCCTCCCATATCATTAAAGAGATAAAAGAGTATGGATTAATCAATTTTTTTAGATTTTAGAAATTAATTATATGAATTATATATTATTATAAAATTTTAAAAAAAAAATAAAATATTTAAAAAAAAAGATGAAATTTTTTTAAATTTATTTTTTTTATCATATATGCCCATTTTTTTATAAAAATTTTATTCGTTTTAACCCTTTAACAACTAAAAAAATATACATATAAATAATTCTCATATTAAAATTTCCCTTTATAATTTATTATATTTAAAATAAAATGAAATCATATCTCTTATTAATTGTTGCCTTTTTATCTGTATTCTTTATCTCCAGTACTCAAGGTGAAGTAAGAATTATTATTTTTATTTTTTTATTATAAAAATTATATTTTAATATATTTTCTTATTTTTTTTTTAATAGTTTTGCAATGTCTTTAGTAATTGTGGTGAAGGAAATTGCTGTACCAGTCTAGTCTTTGGCTATTGCAGACCACTTGGCCAACTCGGAGAACCATGTAAAACCAAAACTGACACAGAACATTTTTGTGGTTGTATTGAAGGCTTAAAATGTTCAAATGAAGTTTGTGTCTCAAAATAAATTAAATAAAATATTTTATAAACAAATAAATTATTATTTTTTTATTTGTTATTTATTATTTATAACACGAAATTTTTTTAAAAAAAATGTGAATTTTGCCTAACATAATAATAACCATATTTTGGGGATTGGAGGTTGTGTATTATTATTGAATGGTTTTATTGCAGATGCTGATACTGATGCTGTTGCAGAAAGTTAAGTAAGGTTCACTGAATTTCTTCATCAGTTAAAGAATCGAATTGGAATGTTAAGACTATACAGAGCAATTAAACATAGAAATAAAGTCTAGATATCCCATGAATTGTCCAGTATTTAAGTTGAAATTCTAAAGATATCAAAATCTCAAATAATTAGGAAGAGGTATTAATTGGAATTTTTGTTTAATAAAATAAAAGACGAAATTAAATTATGTATTTTTTTAAAAACTACAAATGCATTTTATTTTATTTATTTAGTTTTCTTCTTTAATCAATTGATTTAAAGCTTCTTCTATTTTTTCTGGTGTAAAATCATTGGAGTTATCACACAAACGAACAACTTTTCCATCAACAAAACCGATATTCATATATTTTGAGTTTGGGGTTAATGTATTTCTATTGAGACACCAGTAATATTCAGAAATAGAGCATCTTATGTTATCAGGAACCATTTTGCAATCGTCAAAGTAGTTTGAAATAAGTTTTTCTTCCATTGAAAAAGTGAATCTTGTAATCTTTTTCATTTTCTCTTTACATTTTTCGGTGCATGTGTTTGAATTGAAAAGTGGATAATCTTCGTCATAGTGCTTTAATCGATTCAAGTAGGCAAAGTGGCATCTTTTTAATTTTTCAAATGAGAAATCATTATGTTTGCACATTTTATGTAGCTCTTTATAATTTACACAATATAAAAGTTTAATTAAAAAAATAATTAAAAAAATAAATTAAAAAAAAAAATTAAAAAAAAAAATTAAAAAATAAAATTAAAATTAAATATAATTGGTGGTTATATTTAGGTTAACATTAAATTGTAAATTTTTAGTGGGTGTTATTTTTAGGGTAATAAAAAAAATATTAATAATAAAATTAACAAAAATTTTTATTTTTATTATTCATAACAATAAAAATGTCTAAAGAAAAAAAACTTTTCTTTCTTTTGCTTATTATATTATTTTCTAATATTAATTTTTTGGCTTCTAGACCCATAAAGTATGCTTCTTCATTCTATGGACCACCAAATACCCCACACCCGCAAACAGGATTCCCATGGGTATGCAGAACATGGATTAATGATGAAGGATATCTACCAGAAGAATGTCATTATCCTGGTATATATATTCTTTTTTCAAATACACCCGATACTTATGATGGATCAAATGATGAGGTATTTATGCCAGTTTATTGGATAGGAAAATCAAAAAATAATGTCTTACAAAGATATTATTACCATGCAAACAATGATATGGTAAGTATTAATAATAATGTTTTTGCTTGTTTTATGCGTTTCCCAGGAGATTCCATTGATGACGATAATATAATGGTAGACACAAGGACATTTGACGTTGAAACAGCATTGTTAATTAAGTTTGCAACTTTACTAAATAAAGAACATGGCCATAACCCAGAGGTACAGGATTTGGAGTTTGATCCAAACGATGAGCCATACGATATTTTAAGAACATTTTATAATATGGATATCAATAACCCAGTTGCCAATCTATTGCCTGTCAATGGTCATGCCACTGTTATCGTCAATGGTTTTGCCCATTTTCTTTCAAATACAAAAGATGTTGTACCAGATAAAAATATTACACAATTTCTTTTTCCATCTGGTATTCCTTACGCCGGTAATCAAGTTCTGGATGGTGATTACAGTAATTTTGATAGGAAAGATTCTTGTAAAGACAGTTCGGAATCTGAGGAAAAAGTAGTTTCACCTACACCTGTCAAATTTAAAAAAGCATCAGCATCATATTTAAGCGATATACAAGTTCGACTTACAAGTTTGCTTAACAAAAAAAATGTTATTCCTGGAACAACACAAGTACCTAAAGAAAAGCTTGTACCTAAAGCAACAACAGAAGTTAAAACAACTCCAGAGATTAAAACAACAATTGCACCTAAAACTACTCCAGAGATTAAAACAACAATTGCACCTAAAACAACTCCAGAGATCAAAACAACAATTGCACCTAAAACAACTCCAGAGATCAAAACAACAATTGTTCCTAAAACAACTCCAGAGATTAAAACAACAATTGCACCAAAAACAACAGCATTACCTAAAGTAACAATTGAGCCTAAAAAAACAGGCTTTTGGTCTAAGACTTTTAATGTATTAAAAGGAGCATGGAAAGGAGCAAAAGGTATAGTTACAAATCCAAAGACAGTAGAAGTGGTTGAAGGGGCAGCCGAGGGTATTGGTAGGGCTGAGTGAATCAAAACAATTCAAGAAATTAAAAAAGAATATAAAAAATCAAAAAAAAAAAATAAACTTTATATTCAGATATATTATTTTGTTGTGTTGAATTTTCATATTATACCCACATTAATGATGAATACAGATATTTTTAACCGCTCACCGACAAAGACTTTTATTGTCGGAAGTGATAAAAATTTAATTGGAAAAAAAAAAAAAAATTTAAAAAAAATCCAATTCATATTGGGGTCTCTTCCCAATTGTTTATTTTGAAAAACCCACGTTCCTCCACAGCCATCACTTTGTTTTCCTTAATCTTTTTAATTTTTCCTTTCATATCATTAAAAAAGGGATAAAAAGTATGGATTAAATCAATATTTTCTAGAAAATAAGGGTGACAATATAAATATTATAATAAGTGACGAGTTGTATTAAAATTATCAAATCTTTTAATTGCCCAAAAACTGAAATCAATGTGTGCAACCCTGCCTCCATTTTGCAACATTTCCAAGGTTTGAAGAATGATAATCCGAATAGAACCAATATAATGTTTTCTGAAAGTGCCTCAAATCCTAATGGAAATATATTCCCATTCGATATTTTGCCAAAGTTGAAACAGTTATCAAAGAAACTAATTGTAGTTGTGGATAATACTTGGTTAACTCATGTATTTTAAACCCATTCAAGTTTAGCGATGTTGAAATTGTGGTCAATTCATGCCCAAAGTATTAAAGTACCAGTAAATTTAATCATACCAGAAATACTACAAAGAATGCAAACTTTATGTACTCCCTTGAAAGTATGTCAAAGTTAATGAGTTATCATGTCAGTGTAGATTATTGTAAATTGTTATTGCCAATTTCGGCACCATGGAGGATAGAATCATGGCTTCCTATAAAAACACACTTGAATTAACCAAAGTGTTTTCAAGTTACAAATATATAACCATTCGTAATAGTCCAACCCAAATGATTCATCTCATCAATTAGCACTTACATATTAGAACAAGTCAAAGGAAGATCCAAATGAAACAATACATCCAAGTATTATAAATGTCATTGTAAACAAACCAATAGATCACGTTAAAAAGCAACTTGAAGAAAATAATATAATTACAAAAACTTCGTTTGGTTCATGTCACACTAAAGTTTGCAAATCATTATCACCACAATATACCCAAATTAGAATCAGTGTTGGATACAATAAAATAGATTTCAAAATGTTTGAATTTTTAAATTCAAATTAATAAAATTAAAAAAATAAAAGATAATAAAAAATTTTCTTTTTTATTTCTACTATCTAATTAAATAAATATAGTTTATTAAATTATTTAAAATGTATTTAAATTATAGTTTATTATTTATTTAAAAAGTTTATCTCGGAAATCGGATAGTTTTTTAAAAGCTTCATCGGAAGAGTTGTCTTTGGAATTGCAGTTTTTATCTGAATGTAGCAATAATGCCCATTGTCTAAATTTGTTATTGACCATCTTTTGATCAATGAATTGATTATTGTTGCTATTATTATTATTGATACCAAATAATTGATACGGATCAATAGAGTTCATAATGTTGTTAATAATTTCTTTTCTTTCGTACTCTTTAAAGGTGTCACCAGACCCATTGGTTGATACCATTGTTTCTTTAAATTTCAACCTTAATTCTTGTATTTCATTTCTTTGGTCCCTGTTTCTTTGCTCCAGCTCTTCATTCTCTTTGCCTAGACTGAGGATGGAGTTGTTTAAAACCTTTATTTTAGTATTTACCTTTTTTAATTCATCTTTTTGGTTGGTTTTGATTTTTTCATTCTCTTCTCTAAATGTTTTGACTGTATCTTGATATTCGTTTATTGTGTTTTGGTATTCGTTTAGTATTGATTCGTATTGCCTACATTGGTCCGCACCTAACTCTTTGAGTAAATCAATTTCCATCATAAGATCTCTTATCTTGCTGTGACCAATTTCAATAATTTCGTTATTCGATTCACCAAGCTTTTTAATTTCTTCTTCTTTTTTGATTTTATAAATGTTGAATTCTATCTCTAAAATATGTGATTTGTTTCGAAACATTTGAATTATAGTTTCTTTTTTGCTATTGATATCTTTGATCTCTTCATTTTCTCTCCTGTAATGGTTTAGTTTACATTCTAAACTCTCTATTATCTCTTTATACCTTTGAATATCACTTGAATATTTCTGTATAATTTGATCCTTTTCCTCAATTTCCTTTGATTTTTCTTTATCTATATTTTTTAATTTAACAAATTGAATTTTATAGTCCCTATCAATTTGATCTTGATATTCTTCTAAAAATTTAATTTTTTCAATTAACTCTTTATTTTTATTATTTATTATTTTTGATGTTTGTAGTGATTCTCTTTTTTGCTCCAAATTCATATCGTTTGTATCACCAATAAATTTGAAATTATTATTATTAATATGATACATTTTTAATTATCGTTTTTATATATTATTACTTTTTATATTATTATGCTAAATTAGATCATATAAACAAATTGATCTATAGTTTTTTCTTATATGTTTATTATTTTATTATCATTATTGTTTTGTTGGTTCAAAATATGACTGTAATTGTATCGAAAACTTTATTAAATTATTATTATAAATAAAATGATTTTATTTTGAAAAAATATTTTATTTTTTAAAAAAAAAAATTTTATTTTTTTTTAAATTTTTTAACTTTTTTTCTATTTTTGCAATTTATTTATAAATAAAAAATCAAATTTTTAAAGACCTATATTTATATAAATAATATATATATATTGTTTAATGTTAATATAATTTTAGAAATGTCCTTTTTAATTTAAAAATTTTTTTTTATTTTCATTTTTATAAATAATAATAATAACAACAATAACAATAGTTTTTTTTATAATAAATGGTAAAAATATTAACATTTAATTTATAATAAATAAATTTTCATATTCCCAAATAAAAATCCTTAAAAAAAAACCATCCAATCATTTTTCTTTTTTTATTTTTTTAAATTTTTATCCGTTTTTTAAATTACAATTATTAAATTATTAAAATGTAAACGCCACAATTTTATTAGATTTAACACAAGAAAAAAAAATCTTCCCACCCACCCCTATAATTTATTTATCTATATTTTATAAATTAAATTAATGGGGGAACAATTATCTTTTTTATTTTTTTTATGTTGTTTTCTATTAGTGTTCAAACATATTAGGAAACGTTTAATTTTAAAAAATTATTTATAAACCAAATTTATTTTTAATTAAATTTTAAAATTTGGTTTATAAATAATTTTTTTATAAAATGTAACTTTTTTTTTTTTTTTTTTTCTTCTTAATATTAATTCAATTTAAAATGGAACCTAAAAATATTATTAACAAAAGAAATAAAAGTGTAGCAGTAATCGGGATTGGCTTTAGACTACCAGGTAATTCAAATAATCCAGTGGCATTATGGAATAATTTAATTAACAAGTTTGATGGTATTGTTGATACATCAGAAAGATGGAGTGATAACTTTCATTTAAATAATGAAATAAAGTCTAACCAAGCAGGTTTGATTTCACTAGACGAAATCAAACAATTCGATCCACTAATGTTTTCAATATCACCATCTGATTGTGATACCATTGATCCTCAACAGAGACTATTATTGAAATGTAAGATTATTTTAAATAAACAGTTGTAAACCAATCAGTGGAAGAGAAAATAATACTAATCATTCTTATTTTATAGGTGTATGGGAATCACTCGAAGATGCACATATTGATCCAATTAAACTACGTGGTACAAATACAAGTGTATATGTTGGTGTATCTACAACTGACTATCAGAATAATTTGAAAAATTCTGATACTTTTACAAATATATTTGGTTCGACCAACCATTCTGCTTCAAATAGAATTTCATATTGCTACGATTTTAAAGGCCAATCTTTATCAATTGATACAGCTTGTTCTTCATCATCTAATGCTATTGCCTTAGGATACGAAAGTATTGTCGAGGGAAAATCAAATTATTCAATTGTGGGAGGAGCTAGTTTATTGTTGGATCCATCTATCAGTAAATCATTCTCACATTTAAATATGCTAGGAAAGAGTGGTCGTTGTAAGTCATTTGATGCTACTGCCGATGGATATGTTAGAGGAGAAGGAGTTGCTGTAGTTGTATTAAAGAATCTTGAACAGGCCATTAATGATGGTGACAGGGTCTATTGTGTTATTAATGGAGCTAATTCAAATGCAGATGGAAACTGTGATAAAAACAACTTTTATTCACCATCAAAAACTGGCCAATTCAATAACATCAAGACAATGTTTGGGTTATGTTCATCTCAAGTCACTGAATCCGATATTGATTTTGTAGAGTGTCATGGTACAGGTACACCAACTGGCGATCCTATTGAAGTTGAAGCAATTTCAATGGCATTTAAACAATACCACAATCAACAAAATCCATTATTAATTGGTACTATTAAATCAAACATTGGTCATTTGGAAGGTAAATATTGTTATAACTATAGATGTATTATGTTTAAAATATATACTAATTTCATAACTCTTTAATAATAAAGCATGTTCAGGTATTGCTTCATTGATAAAATGTTGTTTAATGTTTAAACATCGTCAATTTGTTCCTAATATTAATTTTAACGAACCAAATCCTGCTATAAAGTTTGATGAATGGAATTTAAAAGTTGTAACTGAAATAGTGCCATTTCCATCAAATAAAAAAGTATCGATGATGATTAACAACTTTGGAATTACGAGCTCAAATGTTTGTATCGTGGTTTCTGAGATTTGTCAAATGGATGCAAGCAGTATATATCAATTGGAGGCCGATAAACAATATTTAGTACCATTTTCAGCCAACAGTAAACAATCTCTCAATTTTTATATATCAAATATTCAAAATGATTATAATAGTTTGTCTAGAAGTTGTGAATTTTTTGATTTTGTCCAATACCATATCTTTTCGAAATCAACAAAACTTTATCAAAAATCGATAGCACTAGCAAATAAATGGTCAGATATCAAAAATAATGATAGTTTTATAAAAACTAGTGATTCAGCGGCTTCGAATTTAATTTCAGCAGAGAAAATAGATAAAAATACCAATATTTGTTTTATTTTCAGTGGCCAAGGTACTCAATGGAATGGAATGGGCGAACAGTTGTATATCAATGATTCATACTTTAAATCAACAATTGATTTAATTGATTCAAAGTTAAACAAATACTACGGATATTCAATATTAGAGAAATTAAGATCAACCAACGATGATACAATTAATCATCCTATTATCGCACAACCATCAGTTTGTATGATTCAAATCGCTCTTTTTGAAACATTAACAAAACAATGGAATATAAATCCAAATTATATAATCGGCCATAGGTAACTATTAATTAAATAATCTAATATTATTCAAATTTTTTTAGGTCAAATTTATAAATATTAATGTTAATCTATTATAATTTAGCTTAGGGGAATTAACTTCTCAATATTGTTCAGGATCAATTGATTTAGACACACTCTGTTATATTCTATATCATAGATCAATTGCTCAACAAAAAACAATAGGATCAGGCAGAATGCTATCAATTAACATCAGCAGTGATCATTTTAACGATCAATTTTCAACAGAATATCCAACAATCGAAATCTCATGTTATAACTCAACAAATTCAATTGTAATTGGTGGTAATGAAGACCAACTAAAAGAAATTGAATCAAAATTAAAACATCAAAATATACACACTGCATTCTTAAATACTCCATCATCTTTCCACACATCAAGTCAAGATAAAGTTAAAAAAGATCTAATTGACCTCAAATTTGAATCATTTAAACCAAAAACACCAGTATTATCAACTATTTACCAAGATTTCTTTAATGGTCAAGATAAACAGTTTAATTCAGAATATTGCTTCAGAAATATTAGAGAACCAGTTTACTTTACACAAACCATTCAAAAACTATATCAACACATTGAATCCAATCAATCATGCAAAAATCTAATTTTTATTGAACTGTCACCACATTCAGCACTGGCTTATCATCTTAAACAAATACAACCACTATCAACACAACCAATTCAATCAACAGTTTTAACAACATTAAATAAAACTAAAGAAGATATCAACCAAATATTCCAACTAATATCCACACTATACTGCAATCATAATTACTCAATTAATTTTATAAATCAATTAAAAACCATCAACAATAATAATCAAACTTCTTTACAATATAAACATAAAGATTTAAATTTACCAAGATATCAATGGGATGATAAAATATTTTGGAGAGAAGATTTAAATCATTCCCAATCAAGATTAAATGGTTCACCAATCGAAGTTTTAGGAAATAAAAACACAACATCACCATTTATAACATATAAAACAACTATTGACGTAGAAAAACCTCAATTTCAATATTTAAAAGGTCATCAAGTTAAAGGCAAATACTATTTTCCAGGTTGTGGTTACATAGAAAACATTATTAACTCATTCCCAAATGAGGATTTAATAATATCACATTTAGAATTCAAAGTACCATTAATATTTATTGAAGGTGTCAACAAACAATTGCAAACCAACATCTATCAAACATCAAAGAAAGACTATAGAGCTCAGTTTCATTATTACGAACCCAATACAAATAAATGGATTTTATCATCTTGTGGTAACTTTCAAACTTTTAGATTTACAAATGCAAATGAAAAGAAATTGGATATTGAACATTTAAAAACTAAATGCAACTTAACAAAATTAAACTCTCAAGAATTTTATAATCACTCAAGGGTTAAAGCTGGAATATCTTATTCTGGTTTTTTTCAAATGGTCCAACAATGCTATATTGGTGATAATTGTATTTTAAACCATATTCCATATAAAAAAGTCCACGACATTGTAGAAACTATCATTAGTTGTGCCACCTTAGATTGTTGTGTTCATGGTTCTATGGGATTGGTGGATAAAAATTGTCAATTGGTATTTGACAAAGTAGAAAATCTCAAATTCTATTCGTCAAATCTACCAAAAGACTATACATTAGATTTCTATTCTTTCATTGAGCTTAAAGGTAAAAAAGGTGATTCATATGAATTTTCGACCTCTATTATGCTTCAAGATGGTACAGTTTTTGCTGAAATAGAAAGATTAGTAATGACATCAACTGTTCAAATAGAAGATTCATTAAAGATTCAATATCCACTAAATGAATTTCAAACAACATTTTTACAGTTAAAAGATTGTGAAGCTGTAACAAATTTAGAATTGCTCAATCATAAAGATTTCAACATTGAATATAAGTTTGGCTTAGATTCTTATTATAATTTTGTTTCTTCAATTCTTTTTCACCACATCAAAATCAAATTTTCAGATATAAAATTAGAAGATATCAAACATAATACAATTCAAGTGTTAAGAGATAGATATTTAACCAATCAAAAACATTCAAGACTGTTTAATTTTGCATTTGAAACAATTAAAGAATACTATCAACAAGAGTATATTGAATCTGAATGGAATGAAGAAAAACTAATTTTCTGCAATATCTTAACAAAAAGCACCAAAATAATGGTTGATCTGTTATTCCCATTTGGAGATAAAGATAAATTAGAAACACCATCGTCCCTATATGATAATGGACTATTAGAACAATTTTACGCAAGCTCACATTGTACAATTTCTGATATCCTTTTATCGGAAATTGTAAAGGAATCAATTGAACCATTAATAAAGAAAAAGAATGTTATTAGAATTTTAGAGTTTGGTGGAGGTGTAGGATCCTTATCTGTAGTAATTTTAAATAAAATTAATCAACTATTAAAAGAAAATGAATCAAGTGATATCGAAATCGAAATAGAATATACTTTTAGCGATATCTCACCAACATTTATTCCCTATGCAAAAGAAAAGTTATCATTCTTTGGTGATTACAATAGAAAAATTTTATTCAAATCACTAAGTTTAGAAGACCATCTCATTTCAAACCAACAGCTAAAACCAAACTATTATGATTTTGTTGTAATGTCAAATGTATTGCATGTACTCAAGAAAATATCATTTGGTTTAAATGAAATTCATCAAATATTAAAACATAATGGATATTTAATGTTTGTTGAACCAATTTATAAATCAATAGTAGCAGATTCAATATTTTCTGTTTTCGATCAATGGTGGTCTTTCGAAGATACCGAGCTTAGAGCCGATAGATGTTGTATGACTGAAGATCAATGGTATAAAATATTATCTGAAAATAATTTCAAAAATATTAAATTTTCCCAAAATAATGGAATTTCAAACATTTTAATACACTCTCAAAAACAAGAATCTAAGTCCTTTATCAATACAACCAATAACGATATAATAGTATATAGTGATATAAATAACAATAACAACCAATCATTTATAAATAATCTTATAAAAGATCAACAAAAACAAGTTGTTATAAATACAATGGAGCAGTTTAATAATATTTCAAAAGATATTAATCAAGATACAATTATATACTTTACCAAAACTATTAATCAGTTAAATATTAATAACTTTAAACAAATTACATTAGAATACATTCAAATTGTTCAATATTTACTTAAAAATAAATTAACATCAACAAAACTAGTATTAATAACAGGAAATTGTCACTCTAGCCAATCATCAAACTATTTAGCATCATCAGTAACTGGTTCATTTAAATATTTTCTAGACCAATTTGAACCATATTTATTATTTTCAATTGATTTTGACGATAAATCATTATTGAACGAGAGTAATTATCAATTGATAAACCAACTAATTGACATACATAATAACATTCAAAGAGAGTATTTTATAAGAAATAACCAAGTTTATTTAGAAAGAATAAAAGATAGTCACAATGTCCTCAAAAAGTATACATCAAATTCAATTGAACAACCATCAACAACCAACAATTTGAAATCAATTTTAAATGAAAATTTAGAATTTCAATTAGAATCAAAGAAGCAATTAGGTGAAAATCAAGTAGAGGTTCAAGTTCAAGCAATTGGCATTAATTACAAAGATTACTTGGTTTATACTAGAAATGTACCCCCTGAACTAATAAATCATAACTCAGATATACACACTCCAGAATTTGGTTTGGAATATTCAGGTATAGTTAAATCAGTCGGTAATAATGTAGATAATTTTAAAGTTGGTGATCAAGTCTTTTCTATTCATTATAATTCTTCATCGAGCTCTATTATTGCAGAAAAAACCCAACTTTCACACAAGCCTAACAATATATCATTTGCTGAAGCTGCATCTATTCCAGCAGTATATTTAACATCATATCACAGTATCTTCAAAGTTGGAAATTATAGTTTTAAAAGCCAAGAATCAATATTAATCCATTCAGCTACTGGTGGTGTAGGTTTATCAGCTATCGAATTATTAAAATGGAAAGGATTCAAATCACATTTATTTGTTACAGTTGGTTCTGAAGAAAAAGAAAAATATTTGAGAGATAGATATGGTTCACTTATTACTGGTATATATTCAACTAGAAACAAAGACTATGTTCAACAAATCAAACAAAAACTAAAAGAATTAGGATCCAATAAACAAGGTGTAGATGTTATATTAAACACATTGCCTGCTGAATATTTAGAATCAAATTTCAAATGCTTAAACAAAGGAGGAAGAATCGTCGATTTATCAATCACTCACCTTAATCCAAATGAATTTATTGACTTTAACAAATTTAAATACAACTATACCTATTCAAATGTTGAGCTTTTACTTTTAGATTTTGAATATATAAACGAAATATTAAAAAAAATAAGTAAAGGTATTTCAAATGGATCATTATCATTAATACCAATTACAGAATACTCAGTACTCAATATCAAAGAAGCATTCGAATATATTAATCAACGAAAACACATTGGTAAAATTGTTGTAAACTATGATAAAGATATTACAAGTCATTTATTACAGAATAAAGATGAAGGCACCAGAGAAACAGATCAACCAATTATCAAATCTAACTACACAATCAGTTCAGAACTCGGTAAAACTATATTAATTACAGGTCAAAGTGGAATTGCATTAGAAATTATTAAATGGATTTCCAAATATTCAAAATCAGTAGAAAACATTATTATTCTATCAAAATCCACATTAAAATGGGAATTAGAATTATTAATAAATAAATCAAAATCCAATAGCAACAAAGCCATCAACTATTATTTCAAAAGTGTCGATGTCGAATATCAAGACCAAATAGAAACAGCCATCAATAATATATTCAATGAACATCCATCTACTAATAACATTGACTCCATATTCCATTTTGCTTTTGCTTATGATGCATGCAACCCATTAGAAATAGATATGAAAAGTTTAGAGGTCTCACACGGTGCAAAAACAATAGGAGCAATCAATTTACACGAACTATCATTGAAATACAAATGGAATGTAAACAACTTCATATTGGCATCATCAATAGCAGCTATATATGGTAGTTTTAATCAATGTACTTATGTTTGTGCAAACAATGTATTAGATTCACTAGCCAAATATAGAAAATCATTAGGTTTATCAGCACTTTCAGTGAACTGGGGACATATAGGAACAACAGGTATTGTATCAAGAACAGAATCAGTCGGTGAATTACTAGATGGAATAGGAATTGAATCAATGTCAGCAAATATTTTATTGGGTGCATTAGATTTATTTATACAAACTCCAAACAAAACAGTCATTCAACAAGATTACGATAATATAATTGTGAATAAACTAAACTATGAAAAAATGCCACCAAGCAATCTATATAATCATAAATCAGACTATATTTTAAACTCAATTAATAGAAATAGTAAATTATCCAATGGAGTTATGGACGAAAATACAATTATTCAAAAAGTTATCTCGAAAATTGCAGAACTCCTTTCAATGAACGAATCAAATATTAATAAAAGTATTCCTTTGATTGAATTTGGCGTAGATTCAATTTTCAGTGTTCAAGTTAAAAATTGGATAGATAAAGAATTCAAAAAAAACCTATTCAGCATATCAGAACTTCAAAATTGTTCAATTAACCAAATTATTAAAAAACTAATTGATAATAATTAATAAAACCATATTCCAAAACTTTTAAAATAAAATATTTTCTAATAGTAATTATAATAAACCGAATCACAAAATTTAGGATCTTATTCTAACCACCTTTTTCAAATAAAAGAAATCAAATTATTAAAAAAAAAAATTTTGGATATTTTTTTAAAATTTTTTTCATCAAAAAAATAAATAATAAATTTATTTAAAAAAATACTATAATAAATTTATAAAAAACATAGTGTTATAAATTTAATATATAGTAAATTACAGAAAATGAAAAATAAACATTTATTAAATTTTTTAATATTAAATATTTTAATTGTATTTGTTGTCGCACAGAAGAGTGGAACCTATAATGGACCACAATATACAAATGGTATAAATGCAGGTTATAAAGAAGGATGGAGCAATAGCGATTTAGGACCATTAATGGGTGAAGCTGGTATTCGTAGTCAAAGAATGAAATTCCCATGTACATTCTTTCAAAAATATGGATATAAAATATTGTATGATAATAATAGTTTTGGAAGTGCTAAATTAGCAGGTCAAAGTAATTTCACTGCATTTATTACATATGATCATGGTAATGATTCATTTGTTCCAGCAAAAATTTACGAACCAATATGGGATGATAACAATAATGTAAATAAGGGAAATGAATTTGCATATTGTGTATATCAAATTGTTACAACTTATAAAGCAGATGTCAAGATATATGAAATCTTTAATGAACCTGATTGGGTTAGCGATTGGAAAGTAGTAAGTACATGGGCTACATCTCCACCATTAGATTTACCACGTTTCGGAGGTAATATATATTCATATATTAGACTATTAAGAATTGCCTGGGAGGTTGCTAAATCAGTTGATCCAACATGCTTCATTGCAGTAGGTGGTTTGGGTTACCCAAATTTCTTGGATGCTATTTTAAGATACTCTGATACTGCAGGTAATTTAGACCCATTATCACTTGGTATTAATTATATAGATGCTGTTTCCACTCATTTTTATCCAATGTATGGAACCTCTAAAACCAATTCAGATGCCTATTTAACTGCTTATATTGAATTACAAAATAGTTTCAAACAAGTAGCCAAGAGACATAGTTTAAATGCCATATGGATCGTCACTGAAACTGGTGTCGCTACTAAATCTGGTGATGGTTATTATGGTAGTGAAGAATTGGCTCGTAATTATTTCCTCAAGTTACCAAGTATCTCCACCACTCTTGGTGTTCGTCAAAACCATATTTTCATATTGGGAGATACAAATTCTGGTTCAAATGCTTTTGCAAACATGGGTCTTTTTTATGACTATCAAAATGTTGATAAAGATAAAGCTATTATTAAACCATCATCAAAAGGTTTGAAAACTTGGGATCTTCATCTCTCTAATAGAACATTAGACCCATCCTCAACTGAAAGTATTCAATCAAAAATGCCATCAGGTGTTGTTGCTTATGCATATAATGATGGTTTATCACTGTGCTATCTCATCTGGGCAAACTCTAGTAGTTTTGAAACTGATGAAGATACCACTTCAATTCAGATTTCTTTGGAAGGCTCATATATATCAGTGTATAATTATTTAAATGACATTGATAAATTTACCTCGGATAATGGTAAAACTGTCTCCATTTCAGTAGACTCTACACCTCAATTCATCTACATCGATATCGAAGGTCCTGGTTCCGGTCCAAGTTCTGCTTCAAATATAACATATTCATTTTATTTATTAATAATTTTAATATTTTTTGCTATTAGTTTATAAAACAAACTTTATTTATTTTTTATTAAAAATAAAAGTATTTAATATTGAAATTAACATTCAATTATTTATTTATTTTTTTATTGTTTTTATTTTATATTCGTCTAACTTGTTTATATTAGCATGAACTTAATCTACTGAAGCAATATTTTCCAATTCGATTCCTTCTGGATTATCAAAATTTTGATCAAAAGCCTGGTTGAAATTTATAGATTCTATAGTACCAACATTTTCTATAACAATTGAATTTAAATATTTATCTGAATTTAAAATATAATTTTTCTTTATTTCCTGAGCTTTTTTCTTTTTATTGTAAAATACTAAAACTATTAATAATATAACTGCTATTATTAAACTAACATTTATTGGGACTACAACTGAAACTACTTGTACAACTTTATTTTTTTTTTTATAAATATTTTCTGTGCTATTACTATTACTATTATCTGGAGGTATATATAAACATTCGTAGGTTATTTGATTTATTATATTACAAAAATGATCGGCAAGTGTGTTGTTGGTACTATTACTGGAGGAAATAGTGTTGTTATAACCTTTTACTAAATAACTTTTTGATGGTAAGATACTTTTTGTTATATTAATGGTTGAGTGGTTGGTGTTTATTATATTTATAAACATATCTATATCTATTTGTGATTTGTTTATATTTATTATACTCTTTTGAATATTAATTTCACTATTTTCAATATTTAATAATGTATCTAAAATGGTGTTATAGTTGTTTATTGAGTTATTATAAAATTTTAATTCCTCTATTGATATTTTTGATATTGGTGTTGATGTATTTTCGTTATTGATTTTTTTATTTATTAAACTATAACCACTATTATTTATAAAAGAATTATTATAAAAACTATTTTGTGTGAATTGAATTATCGTGTTGTTTTTAATTTCTAGAAATGGTTTTGAAAAAGTATTGTTATAAACTGAACATGATATAATGTTGATTTCTTTTGAATTTAAGGTGATTAATGGCCCATTATTATTATAAAAAAATATGTTTTGTAATTGAATAAAGTTACCAATAAAAATAAAGTTATTATTATTATTATTATTACTATCATTACTATAATTATTATTTGAAAAATGACTATTAAAAAAATATATATTATTAAAGTGTATGTTTATAAAACTATTATTACTAAAAATACAATTACTGAAGGTAAGTTTATCTCCTATATTATTTGAGATATTTAAATTTGATTTAAAAGTACAATATGAGAATTCTAATAGACTCGTTAAAGTGGAGCTGTTGCTAATTGAAAATAAATTGGTGTCCCAGTTTTTAAATATAATTCTGTCAGTTGTGAATCTATTAAATATCGGACTGTTAACTATAAAAAAGGGTTCTTTGGCATTTGATCCATCTATAACTACTTTTGAAGGTGAATAAACCTTTTCTAAATCATAGTTGGGAACAACAGTTAAATAAATTGAAAATATAGAAGGATCAATTTCACCTAAATGATATTCTTCATTTATAACTAAATTATCTTGGTCGCTGTCGCTTTTAACTATATATAAATTTATTTCTATTTTACTTGTGTTTTGATCAATAATATTATTTGATATTTTAAAAAATGCTTCTTGAAATGAGTTGCTTTTTGTGTTATTTAAATTTAGATTTTGGGAAATACCATTTAAAAAAATATCAAACACTATATCATATGAATTTATTGTTGTTGAATTGATGAGAATTATTATTATTATTTTTATTACAAAATTTTGAAGGTTTTTTCTCATTTTGTAAAAAAAAATAATAAATAAAAATAATATCATTATTTTATAAGGTGATGATTCATTTATTATAAAAATAAAAATAAATTTTGATTGATTTTTTTAGTTTGTAAATTGGTTAAAAAAAAAAAAAGAAATTCAAGAGATTTTTTTAATTTTTTTTTTTAATAATTATTTTTATATTTTTTTTTTTTTTTTTAAAAAAATCAAATCAAAAAAAAAAAAATCAAAATGATTCTGTGGATTCAAAGAATTGATTAATATATATTTATTTATATTTATTTATATTTTGAAATTATATATAAAATAAATTGTTTTTAAAATGAATTTTTTAAAAATAGTTTTAATTTTTATTTTTTTAAATATAAATTTTTTTTATAATTATAATAATGCGGTTGTCGGAGTTAGTTCATATTTAATAGGATTCGATTTAAAAGTAAATAATAGATCATATTTTGGATTAAATGATACAATTTCCACATCATTTAAGGAAATGTCTTCAAAATTATCAACTTTTTATTTAAGGTTTGCACAACTACAATTATCCATTTATATATTTCAAGATGATCAAAGTGATGCAGACCAGCCATTAGAAATAAATGAAGATGTTTATATATTGGGACCATTTACTAGATATTCATTAATAGAAGTTAGGGTTGTAAATTCAAATTTAGAGAGTTCCAAAAGAAAAGTTATTATTGATGGGTTAAATGCACAATCTTATTTCTTATCAATAAACTCTGGATTCATGAAAAAGGTGCTAATTGATGGTATTGTTTTTAGAAATTGGAAAACAAATATAGTATCATTAAAAAATTTTCAAAGCGGTACCTTAGAAATAAATAACTGCGAGTTTATAAACTCAAAGTTTGTTTCAATTGTCTGGTACAACTTTGCCGGAAAAAACATATCAATTTCAAATAGTGTTTTCAATAATATGCCACTGAATTCCTTCAATTCTTTATTTAGTTACACTTATATCGACAACTGCAGCTTTATAAATAATATTAATAACATTATAAATATCAACAGTAAAGAAATATTATCAATAACTAACTCAGTATTTAGTAATAACATTAATTCATATTTTCAATTAAATAATATAAACTCTATATACCTCTACAACATTTCAGTAAGCTATAATTATTTTTCAAAAACATTTATTGAATTAAAAAATAGTTTAATAGACTCTTCATTTATAAATCTAGTTTTCAATAATAATAACTACAATAATAAAAATACGTTTTTAATAGTTTCAATAATAAATAGTAATAATGAAACCAGTGTAAATTTACAGGATATCGAGATAAATAATAATGAAAATCAAATTTTAGGGGGTTTACTTTATATTAATAATAAAAACAGGATAAACAATAATATAAAATTAATAAATATCTACTCAAATATCAACTTTACTAATAATGCAATCAATACTTTTAATTCAACAATAGAAATAATTGATAGTATATTAACATCAAACATGTATTCAATCAAAGGCTATAATAATACAATAACTTTAGCAGAGGGCAATATCAGTAATATAGCAAAACCTTTTTGTAATATAATTAATAATATTCAATACGACTGTAAAGTTCAAGATATAATGATACCGAATAACAGTAGCAGTGGAGCCAATACTACTAAAGATGATGAAATGAACCGTACTGCAATCATATTGCTTTCAGTTTTAGTCCCCACCTCTGCATTTCTATTTATATTTGTAGTTTCATTACTCTCAGTTTTAATTTACCAAAAGAAGAAAAGACTAAAAGTTGAAGACAAATTAAAAGACTATCCATTACCAACATTTTTAGAAAATGAAATAGAAATGGCTGTAGTAGCACAAAACTAAATAAAAGAAAATAAATAATACAATTGTAAAATATAAACAAATCCTTTTTTTAATAAACTTTATTATTTTATTTGCAAACTATTAACAGTTACATTATCTAGTACCGCAACATCATCAGTTTTAGGCTGTGGGATATTGATTCTACTTTTTGAATGAAATAATGTTTTTCTTTTTAATATTGATATTATAGTTATTGTTGATGCTATTAATATAATTAATGTTGTAGGAACTATTACTTTAACAAGTAATTGATATTCTTCATCTTTTTTATTGCCAGTGGATGCATTTGGTAAAGATGGAGATGAAGAAGAAGATGATCCATTATCATCTATGAAATCTGAACTATTAATGCCATCGTCGCTATTATCTATACTTGGTATAATTCCGTCCCAATATTTAATTAAACTATTTGAAACTTTTAACTTTGTATTCTCTATATTAAAAAACTGAGTAAAATATACATTTGAAATAAGTCTATCTATTGTTGCATAGCTTATACCTAAAGGACCAATAGAATTTAATAAACCGCCTTGGGTGACAGTGCCTGAAGTTGAACTAATATTGATTTCTTTTAAAGTAATTCTTGAGTCTAAACCAGGGTACAATAATTTAAAAAAGTAATTTTCTATACCATTTTCATCATCTTCTAGGTTCTTTGTTAAAGTATTATTAATAATTGAACAGTTTGAAAATGAAATATCGTAATATTCATATCTATAATCAAATACACCACCAAGAAACAAATTCTTGAAAGTATTATTTGTAAATATTAAATTGCTAAATGAATTTGAATTTAAATTTATTGTATCCCAGGTATATAATAAAGAAATGGGAACATTGTTACTATCAAATATACAGTTGTCCATTTTAACTGCCCCTCTTAACCTAATTACACCAATATTCCAATCTATAAAATTTGTGATATTTGAAAACTGACTGTTACTTATTATATTTACTCTTCCTTGAATATTATTTTCCCAAGTATTGTTAAATATGCAACTATTAATTGATATTAATTGGGGTAAAGTTTCTATCGGGAATGCAGCCCAACTTTCACCGTAGAGGAAAACCACAGAGTTAAAAAATTTGTTACTGTTTAATTCTAAATTACCAGTAAAATTGAAAATATAAAAAACTGGATTATATACATATGTTATTGAATCATATATAAAATCTATAAACTCGAAACCCTCTACTCTATATCTTGAATCTTTTGCATTGATCTGGGATGTGCTTTGGTTGAATCTGATAAATGATTTAAAAGAGGTTCCATCTGGGTATCCAGGAAGTGCTATATAGCTTGAATTGAATATGATGGTTTGGTAAACTGAATCTTTTCTTTCTAAATTGTCTCTATCTACTGCTAAAATATCAATTTGTTGAAAGTTATCTAAATTTTCGAAGCTATATTTATCTGTTATCGGTTCTTCATTTTGCAAAATATAAAATGTAACATTTGATTTATTAAACTCGTTATTTATAATTTTAATTCCTTTAGATCTTATGACAGCATCTTCGATCGATCTGCAAGGAGGATAGCCACCATCAATAGAATTTATTAAATCTATTGCTCCCCCACATTCATTATTATTATATTCTATTGGTGATTTATAATCTATTCTAATTTTATAACTATTACTACAATCTATATATAAATTTAAAACTATTATTATATATATTACTATTATTATTACTTTTATATTATACAACATTTTATAATAATAAAAAAACTTTTTAAAAAAAAAATAAAAAATCTGATCACCAGATTTTTTTAAATAAAAATATTATTTTTAATTTTTATTTTAATTTTTTTTTTTGACCAATAATAATTGTTTATTTGTGATATTTTTTGAAAGTGTTATTCATTTGATTTTCAAAATACTCTTTATAAGTTCCTCTAAAATCATAAAATTCTTTATCTTGTATTTTATTTTCATTTTCTGTTATTGTTTCGTAACCTTTAATGATCTCCATTGGGGTGTCTTGTTCTGGAGATACAAAAAATGGATAAGAATAACGATCGTGGGGTGTAGTATTATACAAGACTCTATGATAGTTTGAAATATAATAACCTTGGGTTGCTATTTCAATAAAGTCACCAAGATTACAAATGAATGAACCTTTGATTGGGGTAGCATCAATAAATTGATCTTTAGCTTTGACTTGTAAACCACCGATTTCATCTTGGTCTGTATATATATATATATTCATATGAATAAAAAATAATAAATTATAAAAAATAAATAATTAGTAAAATATAAATATAAATTTAAAATAATTTATTTTTGATACTTACATAGTAAAGTTATTAAACCCCAATCAGTGTGTAAGCCCATACCTAATTTTTCATTACCATCTTCTTTTTTTGTATTTTCATCTTCATATTCCAGTTTAGCAAAGGATGGATACTTTAGCATACTTAACACAACTGTTAAATCAACTGTTTTTTTGGTGTTGAAATATTCTAATGGTAAGTTTAACGATTGAGATATTAATTGTAAAACAATATCACTTAAATCTGAAACTCTTTTAATATAGGTTTCAATGATATTCCTATAACCAACAATATCGTATTCGATCTCTTCTTCTTGAGTTGGATATATCTTTTTACCATTATAGTTAGGACTTTTATAATGCCATTCTCTTTCTAAATCAATGTAAACACCTTCTTTATAATCTATACCATACGTTTGAGAGCTTCCAACTTCATAATAACCACATTGAACTTTATCAACTAGTCCCAATTTCCATTTCATTTTGACATCCTTGGGTAATAAAAAGAATTTTTTTGAAATTCTCTGTAAATCTTCCATTAATGATTCTTCCACACAATGATTAATAATATAAAAAAATCCATAGTTTTTACAAGCATCATGAATTTCTTTAACTATTTGTTTTTTTCCTTCTGTGTCACTGATATTTTTAAAATCTATAATTGGTATACTACTATTTATCATATTTATTTGTAATGTTAATTATACTGTTTTATTTTATTTATAATAATAAGAAAAAAATATTGGGGTTTTTTTTAATAAATTTATAAAAAAAAAAATAAAAAAAAAAATTAATTTTTTTTTAATTTAAAATTAAATTAAAAAATATTAAAGTATAAATGTATTAATTATTAATTATATCTGTAAAAAAAAAAAAAAAAAAACTGGCTATTTAAAGAAATAATAATAAAACAAATAAAATTTAAAATTTTTTTTTTAATATATATATAAAATAATTATTATATTATTTATTTTTTTTATTTTATTTTATTTTATTTTTTAAATATTTAAAATCTTCTTAATTCTGGTAATTGGTTAGATTCATTTTCTATAACTTTTAATGTATCATTAAGGACTACAGTTGATTTATCTATCCATTGAAGAGTATTTAAATGATCGTTTAATATTTTTGAAATTTTTTGGTTTAAATCTTTAGGATTTTCTTCTTTTTGTTGATTCTCATTGATTTTATTTACAACATTCTTTAATTTGGTTTCTACTTTGATAATATCATCATCAATTTTCGTTGTTAATGAATAAATTTTTTCTCTTTCTAAATCTGCTGATGTTTCATTTTCTTTTGGATTGCTTTTAATCTTTGAATCTAATGCATTTAATGATCTTTCAAATAATTCTTGTTGTTCTTGTACTATATCAATACATTGATCCAATTCGATTTGTTTATGATTAATAATTGATACTGATTCCATTAATCTTGTTAACTAAATAAAATAAAAAGAGGTGTCAATATATATATTAAAATCTATGTTGGTGGTGAAAATATTTACTTTTTGTGAATTTTCCATGATAACTTGATCCCATTGATAAATTTTACCGGCTTGTTCATAAAATGCTCTGGTTTGGGTTTCAATTTCTGCTATCCATTCGTTTAATAAAGTTTCTAAAATTTTACTTTCATTAATTGCAATTGTATCAGTATTTTGGTTGGTTGTAACTGGTGTAGTTGATGAGGTACCACCAAGTTGTGAAGTTGTAAGTGGATTATTATTATTATTATTATTGTTATTATTTAAAGTTGGTGTAGTTTGTGTTGTAGAACCAAAAAGTCCTGATGTAGTGGCAGTATTGGATGTTGTGGATGGTGTGGTAGTGGTTGCTGGTGTTGAACCAAATAATCCTGATGTAGTAGTAGTTGTTGATGGTGTTGAGCCAAATAATCCTGATGTTGTGGTGGTACTGGTTGGTGTAGTGGTTGTTGCTGATGTTGTTGAGCCACCAAATAATCCACCTGTAGTTGATGGTGTAGTAGTAGTTGTTGTTGTTGTTCCGCTAAATAATCCACCTGTAGTTGATGGTGTTGTAGTTGTTGTTGCTGTTGTTGTTGTTGCTGTTGTACCAGCGAATAATCCACCACCTGTAGTTGGTGTTGATGTAGTTGTTGAGCCACCAAATAATCCACCTGTATTTGGTGCTGTGGTGGTGGTTGTAGAAGTTGGTGCGGTAGTGGTTGCTGGTGTTGAACCAAATAATCCTGATGTTGTGGTAGTGGTTGTTGATGGTGTTGAGCCAAATAGTCCTGATGTTGTGGTAGCACTGGTTGGTGCAGTAGTGGTTGTTGATGGTGTTGTAGTAGTTGCACCAAATAATCCGCTTGGTGTACTTCCTAAAGTTGTTGTTGTTGTAGTTAAAGAGCTGCCACCAAATAATCCGCCTGAGGTTAATGAGGTTGTTGCTGGTGTGGTTGTAGTTGTAGTTGATGTTGGTTGAGTTGAAGCACCACCGAATAAAGCACCACTTGACAATGTTGTGGTTGATAATGGAGCAGTATTAGTTGCACCACCAAATAAGCCAGCTGGTGTACTTCCTAAATTTGTTGCTGATAATGGAGTTGATGGGGTTGATGATGAACTTGAACCAAACAATCCAGTAGTTGATGCACCACTACCGCCGAATAAACCACCAGTTGGTGCTGGTTTACCTGTGGATGCTAATGGAGTTGCTGGTGTTGCAAATAATCCGCTACCTGCGGTTGGTGTAGAAGTTGAGGAACCACCAAATAAACCAGCTGTAGGTAATGGTGCAGATGAAGTTGAAGAACCACCAAATAATCCACTACCAGTTGATGTTGTTGAGGAAGAACCACCAACTGAAGGTAATGTTGAAGAACCACCAAATAATCCACCACCTGGTGCAGATGGTGTTGTTAAAGATGAACTTGGTGTACTTCCAAATAATCCTGTTGATGTTGATGAGGCTGAAGCTGGTGTACTACCGAATAAACCGCTTGATGGTGTTGTGGTGGCACCACCAAATAATCCGCCAGCAGGTGTTGTAGTTGAAGCTGGTGTACTACCGAATAAACCGCTTGATGGTGTTGTTGAGGCACCACCAAATAAACCACCTGAAGATGGTGTTGTTGAGGCACCACCAAATAATCCATTAGCTGAGGTTGATGGAGCTGCTCCAAACAAACCACTACCACCTGTTGTACTGGTACTGCTACCTGATGTTCCGAATAATCCTGCACCACCTGTACCTGTTCCTCCAAATAATCCTCCTGACATTTTTATATTATAATATTATTTACAAATCTTTTAATATATTAAATAAGAAAAAAAAAAAAAAAAGAGTTATAAATAAATAATATATTTATAAAAAATAAAAAAAAAATAAAAAAAAAATGAAAATCATTGAAAAAAAAAAAAAAAAAAAAATTTAAAAAAAAATTAAAAAAAAATAAAATTTAAAAAAAAAAAAAATTTATTAAAAATTTTTAAAATTCATATGTTTATGAAAATTATTCAACAAATAAACAATCACCACCCCCACTTTTTTTAAAATTTATTAAATCATGATCAGGAAATTATTTATAAATAATTTATTCAGCAACTCTGCACATTTTAAAAATATCAGATTATTCAGTACTGCAAATTCAACTATACCTCAATCATTACTCGAAAAAAATAATCAATCAAATAATAATATTTTAAAAACAAATAATAAAATATTTGATATAGATTATGTTTTAAATCAATATAAAGCAAATAATAATACCGATATAGAAAAAAATATAATTGAATATTATCAATCATTTGTCGACGATTTTGCAAAAAAAGAAACAAAATTAATGAATTGGGATATCAGTCATTGGGCAGCTTTAAAAGGTCATACTGAAATCTTAAAAAACTTTATAGATTTTAAACAACAACAACAACAACAAAAACAAGATCAACAATCTTCAAACTCAAATGAAAATAATAAAAAATTTTTAATCAAACAAGATAAATTTGGTGTAAATTCATTACACATTGCAATTCAAAGAGGTAATTACGATTTGGCAATGTATTTAATTGAAACTGGTGAATGTGATTTAAATCAAAGAGACACAAAACCTGGTATAAGATTATCTGCATTACATTTAGCTATGAACCATTCAAATCCATCATACGAATTAATTAAAAAATTATTAGAGGGTGGTGCAAATGTTAACCAAGAAACAACCGAAAGACGTACTGTATTATTTAGAGCATCCCAATTAGGAAGATTGGATTTGGTTGAATTATTTTTAAAATTTAATGCAAATATAAATATTCAAGATAATCCAAAAACAAATGGTTGGGAATATTATAGAGTTTCAACTCCATTACATATTTCAGTTTCTAAAGGTGACTTTAATGTAAGTTTGAATACATTTTTATTAAACTAGTTTATAAATATTAATTTTTATAATGTTAATAATAGATTGTTAAATCTTTAATTGAAAATGGGGGTAATCCAAATTTAAGATTAATGGATGATTGTGGTGAAAGTTTACTCCATGTTGCTGCTTTGAATGGTGACATCGAAATGACAAAGTATTTAGTGGAAAAAGGTGGGGATTTAAACCAATTAGATTGTTATGAAGCCACACCATTGGATTATGCAGAATCAGGCTATCAATCAAACATCCAATATATCAAATTTTTAAAAGATAATTACAATGTTAAAAATGGTAAAGGTCGTAAAATGTAAAAATTTAACAACAAATAAATTCAAAATACATTCAATTTTTATTTTTTCCTTATTAAAATTTTGTAAAAACTGTAAATCTTTTTCAAATTGCTTATTTAATTATTGATTTTTGAAATTATTTGAAAATTTTATTTTTTTTTTTTTAATTTAATAGCATATTTGGTGTAGATTATAGTTATGATACAATACTTTTTATTTAATTTTTTGTTTAATATTTTAAAATACCTATTCACATAAGCTACACATTACATAGTAACAATAAGCTGAGACCAATATAGATGAAGCTTTAAGATTTGTTAGTATAGATTTAGTTCATTCAGTTTTTTTCATTTTTTTTTTTTTTAATATTAATACTATTATTAGATTTTAGAAATGTAAAAAATAGCACAGAATCATCCACAAATAGTAAGTTTTATGATAATATTTTTATACTTATAATTTAATATTTGTTAATACAATTTATTATTTATTTTTTTATAAATATATTTGTTAACAGATGTCTTGATATTGTTTAACTTTAGCATGTAACAGTATTTATAATAGACCCAGAACAAACAATCTTCTTATATATTTCAGGATTTTTAGAAATTTCATTTCAGTTCTTAATTATAAAATATAATATAATGAATAATCTTGTTATTTTGAAAAAAGTATTAGTTTTCTAAATTTAAATAATTATTTTTTTTTTGTTAGTGTTTAAAATTTTTTTTTTTTATTTATATAAGGAAAAATTCATTTATAAAAATAAAGTGAAAATTATAACATATAAGTTTATTTTATAAATATTATATATTTATATATATAATGAATATCATTTTTATTTAAAATTATATTCATTATATATATAAATATATATTTTATAAAATACAATTTATTATTTATTACATAAATTTCTAAATTATATTTTTAGTTTTTAAAAAACTGCAATTTTTAAAATATTAAAAAGTTTTTTTTTCTAAAAAAATTGAATTTTTTTTTTTTTTCGATTATTTTATGAATTTTTTTTTTTATTGGGTTATTTCCAAAGATCAACAAATAGGAACAAACATTTTATTAAAAAAAAAAATTAATGATTATTTTTGATAATTTTATATATAGTTATATAGTTATTAAAAACTTTTTCCAGTATCCCTAAACATATTCTTTCAGTTGACCCTTTACTTTTTAATACAAGCAGATTTTCTTCTCTTTTGATATAACATTTTTTTAAATCTTTGTCGGTTACTGGATACTTAAGATATAAAATATCTTCTTCAAAGTTTTTAATGTCACTATCTATTATATCTCCTTCTTTCCAATTAATGTTAAATATAATACCGGTTTCTAGAAAACTATCTGTGCTACGTGGATAAAAGCCCGTGTGATTTTCAAGATAATAATCATTTTTTTTCTTTTGGTTTTTAATTATTGGAATTAATTGTCTAACTATTAGTTTTGGAAATTTATAATGTAAATAGTTAACAAATTCATTAGTTAATTCCATTGAGTTATTTATAATTTGGTTGGTAGTTGATGTTGATTGATCAATTTCGAAATCATATTTATAATTTATATTTTTATTACTAATATGAATGATTTTGATTTGAAATTCATTTTGTTGGTTTGGATTATAATCTGTACTTTTATTGGTTGTTAAACTCTCTTCTTGATTTTTTAATTGATTAAAAATTGATGAATAGTTATTATTTATATTTTTATTTGAAAATTTAATTGTATTGAAAAATAAATCTAGTTGTGGAATTTTTTTTTTGATATATTTGATAAAATGTTCAGTTTGGACTGTATCATTGAAATCGACTTTAATAATATGCAGTTTCTTTAGGTGGGGGGAAAAATTTTGTTGAGAAAATTTATTTTTTGTTATTTCTGGGAATCTTGATGTAATAAATACTGTGAAACCTAGATCTAAAAGATAAAAAGCAATTTGAAAACCTAAACCTGTTCTTCCTCCAAGTACTAATGAATATTTAAATGGTGTAATTTCTCTAACAAGATCAACATTTGTACCTGCTAAATTATAAAACCCTGAGCATCTCTTTCCATACAACGAGCAAAATTTTTTGTAACTCCCAATAAATTGGCTTCTACAAGCTTTACATTCGATTGAAACTCTTTGTGAAATCTCTAATTTTTCCTTAAATGATATTTCATTAAATTCCAATAAATTATATGGATCATTTGAAACTGATTCACTACCGAACTTTTCAGCAAAAAAATCTTTCATTTGGGCGATATCAAGGCCTTCTTTTAAAGATTCATTATGAAAAGAATGGGAATCAAACTCTTTATAAGATGAAGTGTTATTTTGTATATATGTATTGAAGCCTCTGAGTAAATATTTTTCTAATCGGTTATTATGTGGTTTGCTAAATGGACTTGCAATATTTTGCCTTTTATTGTATGAGTCAATTGATTCTCTATGCATAAACACATTGGACCCATCATAAAACACCCTAACACAATCCATATCGAATGTGGAAAGTAAATGATCAACAGAATTGTATATTTTGGTGATAAATTGAATTTTTCTCTGTGGGTAAGTTCCAAAGAATGTTAAAGCATTTGGTGTTTGAACATAAAAAAATGAATTTTCCGAAAGTGGGTTGGCTTTTCTAAAATTTGATTTAATATTTTCGATAGTTTGATAAAGTTTTTTTTTGGCACTATTTAAATCTTGGCCAATAAACCATACATCTACATCGCTATCGAAGGTGGGTGAGTTTGGACTGAAGAATCTTTCAAAAAGTAATTCTTTTAAAAGGGAGTCTTCAAAAACAAATTCCATAAATTTTCTAACTAACAGTTCCGGCATTTTTAATTTGTATAAATATCTTTCGATTGTTTTATAACGGATGAATTCTTTTTTAATTGTAATTGGAAGTGTATCGATACATGCAGAAATAGAGCCACCTGAAACTATTACTCTAGTTTCATCAGTTTCTTCACCCCAGTCAAAATTTTTAAATAAACCGCTGCTAAAGACACCAAAGCACAACTTGAACAACTCTAATGATGGCGAGATTGAATAGTTCCCATTTTGAGGTGGATGGAAGAAAAAATTATTTTTAAAAAAAATACATTTATATTTCAAATCTTCTGGGTTGTTTCCAAAATCACTTTTGAATATGTTCTTATTGCAATATTGATCTGGTTTTGAGCAAAAGCTATCGTTGAAAACCTCTTGGTCATAAACTTTAATTATTTCGTTGCTATTGTATGGGTTGTTATAATTATTGTTTGTGTTGTATTTTTGATTTAGAAAAATTTTTATCGTTTTTATATTTTTATCATTTCTGTTTGAAGTTATTTGTGTTGAGTATTGGAGTTGGTAACTAAAAAAATTATATGTTCTTATTTCTATTTCAACACTTTGATCGACAAATTTTAAACAATCTATAATGTCACTATATATTGATGTATATTTATCTTTGTTATTAGTTCTTTTATAAAATGAATGAATTGATTTAATATGTTCCCTATTATTAACTTTTGTTAAAATTTTTTTATAAATTTCTTTTATATCTTGAATTGGTGATACCCCTTTTTTAACTAAAATATTTAAATGTGAAAATATAAATATTGATAATAATTTGGTAATTTTATGATTATTGTTATTGCTAATTAAATATTCATCGATTTTTTGATTTATTAAACCACTATCTGTATATTTGAAACTCTTTACTAATCTGGAAAAAAAATTAGATGGGCTAGTAACTCCTTTTGGATATGAAAAAAGCAATTGATATAATGCTTTAATACCTTTAAATAAATATATTGCAATTTCATTGGTGTTTTTCTTTTTTATTAATTTAAAAGGTTGGGTTTCTTTGATGACTGTGATACTGCTGCTATTTTTATTGTTGTTATTATTTATGTCAATATCAGTATTGTTAATTATATTATCTTTTTTTTCAAACATTATATCATCTTGAGATGTTTTAATTTTCTTTTTATGATTACCATTTAAACTGTCATTTATATTCGTTCTTTTTACTTTTGAAAAAAATGATTTGTAATTTCCTTTATGAATTATTTCCTTATTATCAACTATTTTTTTATATTTTACACATGGATGGGGTATTAAGTGTAAACTGATTGGTTTATCTAATAGAGTTAATTCATGAAAATCCTTTATAAAGATTTTATGACTATTTTTTTTTGGAAGGTATGCCAAGGATTTGATGAGTATAATTGAATTTTTTCTTAATATTTCTTGGGGAGTATTATAAATAAAAAGTCTATATTTGTATAAAAAATCATTTACAATACTATTTCAGAGTTAATATTTGAGTTTAATTTCGGATAATTATCGAGCTATTAGTTTAATACATACATCGATTTTATAATTTTTTTTTTTTTTGAATATTCTAAATCTACTATTTGAACGGCTATGTCTCGCTTTTGTGTTTTATGAAGTTGAATTTTTTCATAAAAAAAAATTGAAAGTGATTCATTTTTTATTAATTTTAATATATCCATTATTAAATTCTGAATATTTGTTTAGAGGTAAAAAAATGAAAAAAAAAAAATTTTGAAAAAAATTTTAAAAAAAATAAAAATTTTTAAAAAAAATTTAATTAAATTTAATTTCAAGAAAATTTTAATTTACAAATAAAATATTGAAGTTCGATTAATGGTGATTTTGTAATTGTTGGTGAGTATTTGTATAAATAAAATTTATAAAACTTGTGTTAACATTTGCATCAACCAAATTGAATGGTGAAAAAATATTTAATAAAAATTAAAACTTAAAAAAAATATTTAAAAAAATAAAGTTATTAAATTATATGAAAATGATATTCATATCTTTATATATAAAGATATTATATTTATTTATAAAATATTATAAAAACAATTAATGAGTGAAAATAAACTATTATATTTGGAATTTTATTTTGAAAATTTTAAAAAAAAAATAAAAAAAAATAAAAAAAATTAAATGTGTGTTTAAAAATAAATATTGTTTATATTAATTTACAGTATAAAAAAAAAAAAAATAATAATTTTCAAATATTTACAAACTAAATAACAAAGTAAAAATAAATTCTAAAATGTCAATTATTATTAAATATAAAAAAATAATTATTATAATAAAAGTTTTTTATGTGTATCTTAACCTTTTTTTATTTTATATAGAATCTATTTCATCCATAAACCCAGTTAACAGTGCTTCAACTATTTCAATGTTAAATTCATCAGGAAGTACCTTGTTCT